TATGCCCATGGCATTCTTGGTGTAGGGGATAATGAGCAGGCTAATATACTGGCTGGTGCTACGCATCTGAGAGGTGACCTACTTTATAATAAAGCGGACATGGAGAATGCTTTCTGTGATCATGTGAACAGTGCAACAGAACAGACCAAGCATCCGTACCAGGAGATATTGATTAAGCCGGGAGTAAACAGTGGATCTGGCCAGTTTTCAACATGCTGGGGAGAGACAGCTTTTGATCAGGTTGCAGCTGATGCAATAATTATGGAAACTTTTCGTTGTTTACTGAGGACTGAGACAGATCAAGTGTGGGAATGCCGCTGGTGCAATGATGTCAATGCTTGATTCATTCTGGCCTACACCCAATATTCAGAAAGCAGGCATACGGTCAGACTGCTACTGGTACCATCATAATTTACACTCTGCGTTGGCTGCTGAAGGTGGGGACAGAGCGCTAATAGTAATGTCGGTTTTTAACTCAACTTATAGTTTCAAAGAAGAAAAAGAAGAACTAAACTCAAACATGCTTCAGTGGCGCGATGCCTGTTGTCGCAATGTTGGTGGTGCCCGTGTGTGGTTAAAATTAATCGCGTGGGCAATTGCTGATGACTTCTGCAACCATCAATGATGAACTGCATTTCTAATGTCGGACTGTTTGTGTTAGCACTTCGGATGGCTACCGTATGCTTTAATGCGTGGGTATGCTAGATATGCTAAGACAGCAGTCTGTCAATCTTTTAACAAGGGACTGTGATAAACATTCTGTGTGTTTTTCGTTGCACACGAGCGGAGCAAAGATGGGGTGACCCGTTTGCTATGAAACTGAAACTAAGACTACCAGTTCACAGTACTCCAGTTACACTATATCAGCACCTGATCCTGTCAGTGGTGGATTATGGCCTGGGACTGCTTACCGTCTCAAAGAGTCAGATGGACCAACTAGAGCGCATATAGAACGCGACTATGCGGGTAATTCTGGGTTGCCCCAGAGACACCCCAGTGGTGTGTATGCGATACATCCTTGGTTTGACGACGGTTGCAGGTAGGCACAAGGTGCTGCAGGCGAAGTCATATCTCAGGGTAGCTGCAGACACAGACCACCCTCTGCATGAAGCTCTTGGTGCAGTTAAGGGTCAGCGGCTGATAAGAGGGAGGTCATGGGTGGCTCAGGCAGACAACCCAATCAGACAGGTTTGCCTCCTTGAGAACATTAGGCGAGAAGAAGAGTGGGTCAAAGTGCCACCTGAACAGTCAGACTTGTGTAGAGTCATAATCACGCTGAGCCGGGAATGCAGAGACTGGCCAGCAGGTGCCACAGAGGTGGAAGTTCAGCAATTAATTCAAGATAATGCTCGCTCAGAGGATTTGATCATTTACACAGACGGTTCAGTGTCAAGAGGCAAAAGAAGTGCTTGGGTTTTTTTAAAGCAAAAGTTAATGGTCGACGTTTGGTGCAGGAGAGCCTAGCATATGATACCACAACATCCAGCTTAAGAATGGAGGTGGAGGCGGTCACTGCAGCTTTCCGCTGGCTAGAGAACACGACACACACACACATACATCGTGATTGTAACTGATTCAGAGAGCATGCTGAGGAAGATCAGAACAGGTATGCCTTGTGCAGAGTGGCATGCTTCGCTGCGGAAAACACAAGTGGAGTATTGTCTGGATGTTTTCACTGGGTCACGCCGGTGTGTTTGGATATGAACAGGCGGACAGACTGGCTGGCTCTGCGCAACTTGGTGGAATACTGATACATGATAAGGCAGACGTAGTTAGTGCCTTGTGGGAGAGCGTGTACAATTCGGATGAGCAGATTGATCACCACAGTGTGGTGAGATTAATGCAGTTGGGGGTGACGAGAGGTTCTGGCAGATGGTCGAGGCTCAGAGGACAGACGTTTAATCAGAATGCTACTGGCACCATTAGAATCGGAACTCTTCGCTGGCTGCTGAAGATGGGGACGGAGCGCTTATGGGAATGCCCCGAGTGCTGTGATGTCGGTTCTTGAATCAAATCAATCAGTGCTCCAGCTACAATAAGCGAATACGGAATAGTGGCCGAAGACCATTAATGATTGCCGCGCATGCGCATTTATGCACTTAATTTTAAGTTGTGTCAACAAAGACCGTAAGTAATAACACATAGAACTGTCCTGTTCGGGGTCTCTGGGGTATGATTTGACTATACTGTCTATTTAAATCGCTATGTTATTTATAATAATCATAATGTCAGCATCTGGAAGCAAGTGACACGTTAGAAAGACGCCCTGAAGTGACAGACGTGGTCAGACGTCAGTGGTGGAAATATGGCGGCTAGCCACACGGGCACGAAGAAAGTCACAGTCTCCGTTTTCGGATGATGCGGCAGACGCCCATAAACTTTAGAAATACACAAATAATCCCCGTGAACTTTCTAAATACACAAATAATTAACAACATACACTACCCGGTTCACCCTGGAAGGTGATCGAGTAAAAATTTATCGTATTTATTAAAAAAAAACAAAGTGGATTGTGACATTGTCAGAGATGTATTGTTAGTCTTCAGTTGCCTTGTAAATTATATCCGCTGGCGGGGACACAGTCACAGCACCTAGAATAAGAATTGGGTTTGTTAATTATTAAGAAGCAGGTCCCAAGTGCTGTATGTCGATTCTTAATTCAACAAGAAACATTTACTGAACGGCGCCTTTTTCTCTCTTCTTATCTCAATATCTACATTCAGTTTTTAGCTAACCTTGTGCTGAAAGTATTTGCCCCTTTGTGAACTTTCTTTTACTAGTTAACTAATAAATTAAATTAGTTATAAATTATGATTTAAAAATACACTATTATAATAATATATAATAATCGATAATTATACTTGACACGCATATTTATTAAACTTAAAATTTATTATAATCTGTTATCAGTGCAGTGTTAATAACCAAATTAAACATACAAATGTCCAATATCTAAAAAGACAAAAGGAAAAAAAAACTACATAATTTCCCAGATAGAACCCATCATCGCTCCACATGATAAAATTACTACTGCTGCTGCCACCAACGACTTGTAGTATTACTATCACTTCTACTGTTTCTACTACTACTTCTACTACTGCTGTTGTTACTACTGTCACTGGGCACTCTTCCGAATACCGGCCCCATATTATTCAAAGACAAAAAATCCCATTCAGGGCCTCAAGAGGTCGTTGTCAGGGACTTGAGAGGTCATGTAGTTAAAAATATGGAACAGGAACACTACAAACTATGCTTTCTTTTATTATATAATTTCATGTGAACGAAATTACAGAGTCTTCGCTAGTATAGTTGATAAGCAGTCTGCTTGTTACGCCAGTGATCGGGGTTTGATTCTCCGGCGGCCAAACATTTTTCTTTTTTTTCTTCAAAAGGGTGGTTTGTATTGTTCCATATTTTGTTGTTCCATATTTTGTATAACCTCTTTATAACCCCTTGACCTCTTTGTAACCTCTTGAACCCCTTGAGGCTCTAAAAGGAATGTTTTGGACAGTAAATAATATGGGGCCGGTATTCGGAAGAGTGCCCTGTCACTGTGTAGAACATAATTACTGTGTGAAAGATTAGTGATTGCACAAGCCACAAGTAAGGGAAGGTCTTGATGCCCAGATTATGACCCCATGAAAATACTCTATCTACCTATCTGTCTATCTAATCCATTCTCTTTCTCTCACTCTGTCTGTCTCTGTATTTGCAGTGGAACCTCAGAATACAAATTTAGTCCATTCATATCAGCAATGTTTGCTTGCACATCCGTTTTAAGATTTGGTTTATTTGTATGCAGACTGTTGGTTCCTCACCTCTCAGAAAGATGCATGCGGACTTAGGAGGAAACACCCTAATAAGTCACCTTTTACCTCATGCTTTTTAGGGGGAAGTGGGTTTATTCTTGTTCTTTTTCCTCCCAGAAATGGGACTCTGGAATCCATTGCAGTGAGAGCTGCACGTGATAGGACAACTTTGTGTGAGTTGGTTGACAGCCTATGCTCCATTGGGGAATAACAGGCAGGAGAAAAGTAGAATAATTTGTATCTATGTATCTACCTATCAGTTGATTTGTCAGTCTAATTACATGTCTTTCATGACACCAGTTTTCATATGACATATTCATACTCTACTCCTAGCACAAAATAAATATGTTACAGTGCCACATATGACATATTCATACTCTACTCCTGGCACAGAATAAATCTACTAGCACAGAATAAATCTGTTACAATGCCACATATGACATATTCATACTCTACTCCTGGCACAGAATAAATCTGGGTACTTAATTTATAACTTACCCCTGACGTCACGACTACGTCACGGGAGACAATCCCAATAAATTCCAGGGTTTTCAGGTTGTAGTTTCTCGCAATTTATCTACAGCCAAGTTTAGCGTTAGGGTTAGGATTAGAAGACAGTAGATGAAAACTCAAAAAAAAAAAAAAAAAAAAAACAGCACACTTGCACCCCTTGAAATAATGGACTGTCAGGTCAGCTGTGGATTTTCCACGGGGATTTCGTGTTTGGGGTACGTTATAAATTAAGAACCTAAATCTGTTACAATGCCACATATGACAAATTCATACTCTACTCCTGGCACAGAATAAATATGTTACAATGCCACATATGACATTTAATACTCCTAGTACATAATAAATCTGTTACAACACCACATATGACATATTCATACACTACTACTAGCACAGAATAAATATGTTACAACACCACATGTGCAACATTCATACTCAACTCCTAGCACAAAATAAATCTGTTACACACATTGTCATATATGACATATTTATACTCTACTCCTAGCACAAAATAAATCTGTTACATTGTCATATATGACATATTTATACTCTACTCCTAGTACATAATAAATCTGTTACAATGCCACATGCATACTCTACTCCTGGCACACAATAAATTTGTTACAGTACCACATATGACCTATTCATACTTTATTTCTGGTACAGAATAAATCTGTTACAATGCCACTTCACATGGAGCCAGGACAGATTTACAATTCGTGGACAGAGTTCAAAGATGCTCTCGACAGTCACTGTAGAGAAAACAAAGTTATCTTCAACATCAGCAATGCCAAGACGGTGGAACAAGCCAATAACCTCCTGAAGAAGAAACCTTACTTCGACATTCGACTCAAGTATGCTTCCTGTATGCTTGTATGCAAGCACTTTGGCTCATACAAAAGTCTCAGCACTGGAATGAGACCAAAACAGAGGTGTGTATCCTTCTTATAGTCCATACCATGTAGAGTTGGTGGTCATGTCTATCCACAACCTATCTCATGTACTTTCAGTCAGTTCTTCTTCTTCTTCGCATTCACCAGCTGTAAACTCCGGTGGAAAAGTTTTGGCTGTTCATCCATCTCTGGACTTGAGGCTTGTTCCAGAACCTGAGTGTTGGGTGCATATCTATTTTACAGATCTGACTTTATTTCTATGCAGACTGTTGGTTCCTTGCCTCTCAGGCAGATGTACTCCGACTTCAAAGGATCAGTCAGTTTAGACACATTGTTAGGGTGAAAAGTCAAAATCAATTTGGGTCCATCACTGGTAGAATTACGTTTGGTGGGGAAAGCATCTCTCCTGGTGATTGCCACAACTTTGTTTAGAGCCCCTTGTAGAATTCTACAACTGACTTCTTCGGTCAGTTTCCCTAATGGTTCTTTCCAAATTAGGGAACCTTTTACTTGCAAATCCCGCAACGTAATTTATGCAGTTATCTGCAAACGATGCAGCAAGGCATACATTGGGGAAACTGGTAGGAAGCTAGCTGATCGTTTCCGGGAACACTTCTCCGATATTGACAAGAGGACACTTAAACCAATCCCTCTCCATTTCAATAGCTCTGACAACAGAGATAAAGATGATATATCTGTCACAGCATTAAAATCTTGCTCTGGTGATCATACTACCCACCTCGCTTTGGAAAATCGCCTCATCCACAGCCTAGGCGTTCTTAGTCCAACATACCTTCATCTAAATAGTTCTACTCTTATCACATTTTAAATGTTAATTCTTTTCTTTTCTTTTATTTCATATTATTACTTTATTCTTTGTTTCTTTTCTTTTATTTCATATTATTACTTTATTCTATCTCTTATCAGTATCCTTAACATATGTATTTCTTTTATTCCCAGTATTATATTATGTATTAAGAATACTACTGTTTATTTTTTTTGTGACTATATTTTTTAGCCATCATTTATTTTATTTTATTTCATTTATTCCACATCACATTTTTAAAAATGTTGTTCACGTCACTCCTTAGAGATCTACATACTCTCCTCTCCTCGTTGTTACGTTTGTGTAGTTCACTTATGTTTGAAAAAGGCTGCCCGGCCGAAACATTACGTTGTGTTGTTTTGTGCACGTTTTTCTGCTTCCCCATTTTGTTGAGCTTTTTAGTCAAATTTCTCTGGAATTCCTGTGTATTAGCTTGACTGCAGTCACCACCATATTTTCATAGTTTTCAGTTGGTATTTCTTTTTTTTTCAGGAGCTACAAAATTAACTGCAAGGCATTTATCAGTGTGAGCGCATGCAGGAAAGAAAACTATCTCATTATCAGGGATTCCTACCATATTCACAGCCACAATTGCTCAGATGAAATCTATAACTCATATCCGGAAATTCGTCGAATGACAAAGGAAGAGAGGAAGATGATTGGCACTTTGATGGAACTTGGTGTGCCCACCTCTCAGATCAAGTCTGCTGTAGGGAGAAATGTGACCCCAAAAGATTTACAGAATGCAAAGACACACATCAAGGCAGTTAAAATGGGGTTGAAAAGTGACGAGCCAAAGGGGGGGCCTAGGCGAAGGAAAACTTACAAGGAAATGCAAATGGTGCGAGCAGAAGCTCGCAGAGCAGCAGGATTAAGTGTGTCTGATTCAGATGAGGAGGGGGAGGAGGAAGATAATGTTGAGAGGTCAACATTTCATAATTCTGATGAAGGTGATGGCATGAAAATTGAAGAAAATGAAGAAGCGAAAGCGTCAGAGCATGTTAACACCACAAGTTTTACAGTAACTATCGGAGATATGGAGCATCACTTAGAAGTGGGGCCAGATTCGCTGGCATGCGATGTAAAAGATGCAGGCAGTATTGGAAACATGGATGGGCTATCTGGCCTTCTGGCAGCTGCAGGGATCAGCTCAGACACCGTTGTTCTCACAGTTAATAATCCTGGCAAGGATCTGGATGAAGCAACCAATAACGCATATACTGTAACGGTGTCGCTACCAGAGGATGAAGTAACCCACACCGTTAATAATCTTCAAGAGCTGTTGAAAGGCTTGCCCCCAGGAAAAATAGTCACAAAGTCTCCTACACCTTCGTCGCCCGTCAGAATTAAAACCGAAGAAAATGACACTTTTCCAGAAACGAAACAATGTGAGAAGTGTGGAGGGTATATTTCCCCTCTTGATGGGCACAGTTCTTGTTTGTCCTGCCTAGGCCCTGAACATATTCATGAACACAACTGCGATCATTGCAAGGCCATGACTCCTGAACAGTTCAACATCAGACGGAAAAAAATGGTGGCTATGAGAATGAAAGCTTTGAAAGACATGAAACGTAAGCGTAATAAGCAGGATGAGGAACAGTCTGATGAATGTGGTGATTCCGATTCTGACCTGACATTAGGTATACGAAAGAGTAAACGGGTCAGAAAGCCCAAAAATTATGGCCCAGATATTGAGGTGGAGAATTCATTTGTTCTAGGAGGTAGGAGTTCTACCAAAACCTCCCGAGGTGGAAGCAGTTTTCCCAGTTTTAAAACACCACCAGATGAAGATGAGGAAAGGTTTTCAGCGATAATACCAAAGACAGAAATCATGGATGGTGACGATTCATATTTGTCACATGTTTACACATGTGACGACAAAGTTGACAGTAAAATCACTGGATGGAACACAAAACGATTTGATCACATCCTGTCACAGGCAACTGTTTTTGATGACGTCATATTGACAGAAAGCGGTAACAAATCATTGTGTTATCTACCAGAGATGCAGACATTTTCAGAATTTCAGGTGCTTGCAGACAAACCAGACTTGCCTGCCACTCCTCCTACTTTACTTCGAAGATATATGCTACATCCAAAATTTGAATCATCGTTCTGTGCAGACTCTGAACATCTCACCAGTGTAACAGATCCATCAGTAGACATTATGAGTACTGGACTTTGTAAATTAGTCAAGAATGCTGTGGTTCAGACAAGAGTTGCAGTATATGACAAACTGTTTACACGTCTGGGGGTAGGCATGGCCGATGAGGCTTTGTCCATACTGGGTGAACTTTACGGTAAAGTTAGTCAGGTTACAGAAATATCCCAGGATGTTATAACTAACAGTCTGCAGACTGCGTTAGATACAGTTCAGGCCCTGAAAGATGTGCTTGAGGAGCTAGGAGTCATGTCCAAAGATGCATTGACTACAGCTGCCCACCAGCGTACTTTATCTGTGAACTCCCTGGAAGCTGCACGGAAGGTGTTACAGTCACAGCGAGTTCCTTGTGGAGAAACATCTGCCAGGAGAGGAAAATTTTTACCATTTTCCCGTGCTCAGATTATTCAGCGTCCTCTGCCTAACGAACATGCTCAAAATACCCCAATATCTACTTCTGTTCCAGCGTCAAGCATGTCTGCACCAACCTATAATCAAAAACATCTGACTTCACTAACCTCGTCGGCCCACCAGGAAACCCACATTTCAGACTTCCCCATCATGGCTATAGCAACAGCTCAGGAAGGTTTAGATGTGAGTCCAGATGCAGCAGCTGCTACATATATCGACATGTCCGGCAAAGAATTCACCATGGCTCCAGTGACAGTCCATAGCGAACTTCTACAGAGTCTCACCAACAACAAAGATGGAATAATTGAACTGCATGTGTTGAAGGAGGAGACGGAACTGATGGAGGCAGAGGATGCTGCGATTGAGGAAGTCATCCATGCACAGTGATAACTAGTTGTGCTTGTAATTTGTTAACTAAAATATAAATACATTATTTCTACTGGCCAATGCCTCCATGTGTTGAAGGAGGAGACGGAACTAATGGAGGCAGATGACACGGTAGATGCGGAGGTCATTCTTGCACAGTGGTGACTAATTGTGTTTGTAATTTGTTAAATAAAGTATAAATACTTCTCCTGCGTTCATCCAAAGATGTAAATGCATTGTGACCATTTACAACATGGCTGCGATATTTGTGCCTTTTGGCTGACACATCTGACTTCTTTACTTTACTTTACTTAGTCGCTCCTCTTCTACCTTGGGGTGTAGACGTCTCTATCAGCAGTTTTATTTCTGGCTTTGTTCCATTCCAGTCCTCTGTCAATTAGGGACTGTCGGATGTTGTCTTCCCAGCGCACCCTGGGTCGTCCTGGAGGTCTGGTTCCCTGGTTCTTAGCCTCCCATGCCTGCCATGTCCAAACCATCGTAACTGTGACCAATCCACTGGGGTTTGTAAGGACTGGGTATCAAGATCTTGACGTATTGTCTGATTGCTGACTTTGTCCCTTCTTGTCACTTGGACCACCTTTATCAGATATCTCATTTCCGAGGCCTGCAGCTGGCTTCTGTGAGCTATTGCCCATGACTCACATCCATAGGTCAAGACTGGTATATAGGTCACATCTGACTTCTGCTGGCATTATTTGCCTAGTTTAGCCTCCATGGTTGGTTAAGTATAAAAACTGTTTCTAGCTGGCCCGTGCCTGCATGTGTTGAAAGATGGGACAGAACTGATGGATGCAGAAAAACACTGCAGTTGAAGAGGTCATTCTTGCACAGTGATGTCTCCATGTGTTTGTAATTTGTTGTTAATGTACTGTTAGAAAAAGATTAATGCATAGTTATCCGATGGCGTGATTTTATTAGTTGGCAGGAAAGCCAGCACACATAAAAGCTATCAATGATCCAGGTGCAGAATAACTCTCAGTTGATTGGTTGAACCCTAAATTATTCTTATGTGCAAATTGAACAGTCACTCATTAAATTACTAAAACTATATTCATTTTTTTACCTGGTGTATGCTTGCTTGTGTTGAAGAATGAGACAGAACTGGTGGAGGCAGAAGACATGGCAGTTCGGGAAGTCATTTACGGGTATATAGTGCTAGATCTAAATTTTATAGATCAATCAGCGCTTAGTAATATGGTTAACTTTACTTCCCAGGACTTTACCTGGTACCCATTTTAGGCTAGGCTATTTTTAAAAAAAAAAGTCTGGTTCAATGCAGATTTGAACCCTACAACCTTTGGGTCCACAGGTGAGTGTTTAGCCGCTACGCCATGGCGGCTCCCTGTACATTGTGTGTGTGTCTGCCATTTGGGTTCTGGACACCATTGTGGGGGGGGGGGGGACAGACTGACTGACTGCCCCCAAACAAGAATGTCGTAAGAGACGATCGACTAATTAGGGAAGTTTCCTTCCGAGTGCCTCTGCCTGCAAGGCAAGGAACCAACAGTCTGCATACAAATACAGATTCTGTAAAACGGATGTGCATGCAGAACTCAGGTGCCAGAGCAAGACCAAAGTCCAGAAGTGGATAAACAGCCAGAACTTTCTGTCAGAGTTTACAGCCGGTGAATGCAAAGAAAAAAAAATGCCTTTTTTTAACCAGTGCTGATTGAGAGTTGGTCCCGGACTTTGAGAACTTACTGGGAGTTGTTTAAAATAAATGAATTTTAAAAATGGCCTGCCTAGCTCCTGTTGTAGCTGAGAATATCTGAAGGCCTAATACTCGGGGGCTACCATGGTGTAGTGGATAGACACTCAACTGTGGATCAGAAGGTCATAGGTTCAGCTCCTGGTGGAGCTCAGTGCCTCAGGGAGTCAACCAAATCAACCAAATAATGAGTGTGTTACATCCAGTCAATGAGCATGTCCTTTACAGAACACCACTCTCTTCATGGCATGTCTAAAAGTCTCTCTCTCTTTAGTCAGTTCACCAGCTGGGTGTGCTTTCATTGCCAATGTACCTTCAGTGTCCTGTGTCATGGAGCTCTGTATCCACCTTTATGGAGGTCTGTCCTGTATCTGCCTTTATGGAGGTCTGTCCTGTATCCACCTTCATGGAGCTCTGTATCCACCTTTATGGAGGTCTGTCCTGTATCCACCTTTATGGAGCTCTGTATCCACCTTTATGGAAGTCTGTCCTGTATCCACCTTCATGGAAGTATGTCCCGTATCCACCTTTATGGAGCTCTGTATCCACCTTTATGGAGGTCTGTCCTGTATCTGCCTTTATGGAGGTCTGTCCTGTATCCACCTTCATGGAAGTATGTCCCGTATCCACCTTTATGGAGCTCTGTATCCACCTTTATGGAGGTCTGTCCTGTATCCACCTTCATGGAAACCTGTCCTGTATCCACCTTCATGGCTGGCACATTTCACTCGGAGGAAAGGCAAGATGGACATATAATCATACTGTGTCCAGTACCATAAGTATTGGAACTCTGCGCTGGCTGCTGAAGATGGGGATATGGGAGTGCGGTGATGTATTTTTTGACCCAACTCAACTCAGCCGAACATAAATGACAACAAATAAATTTACTTTACCTATCAATGTATTATGAAGATACACCTGAAAAAATAGAACAGGAGATTCAGACGTTTACTGTAAAATCTAAAAGTTCACTCTACTTATTTACGATGGTTCAAAAATATCAAAGGAATTGGCTGGTATTCAGCATCCTGAACATCTATGAACTAAAGAATACCACTATTTTGCGTCACTGATATTCTAAGGCTGCATGCAAAAAATCATTGCGATCTAACAGACAGTTTTCGAGAAAATGGATTGCAAGTGTGTTTATGAATTGTTGAACGAACTATAGAAGTTCTTTACACTGGAGTCCACAGGAGGCTTAGAAATAAAAGGCAAACTAAAAACACATGGAGAATTGAACTAGAGAACGGAGCTAACTAAGACAAGGAAATGGTGAGCTGCATGCAACGAGGGTCCAATGCTTTACTGGTGGATAGAGGGCAGAGACACTGAAAAGTAGCTTATATGAAGCGAACAGATCTCTTCCCTCCTGCCCTGACACCGCAAAGCATTCCAGGAGTAGAGAAAAGAAGAAGATGCAATTGCAGAAGAATTATTTCCTCACGCACTTGTAGTAATTTGTATGTTCTACATTGAAATTTAAAAAACAAACATTAACTTGAAAATGTAACAAACATTTAATAAAACTTCTTGCTCAACAAACAAATGGCACAACATAGTAGTTTCTCATATGTTACAAAAAATCAACAAGGCTAAGATAGTGAATGACCCAAGGTGGCAGAACCTGGGAGCTCAGGCACCTTAAGCCCCCCCCCCCCCCCCCCCCATATGTTTGGGGGAGGGGAGTTCCACAAATAATTTCTTATGGGAGAGCCGAACCCCCTTAGATAAGAAGTTATTTTTTTAAGTACTTACATTTTATATTATTCCATATATACTATTCCCCGTGTGGGTTCTGGGGCCCTATTATAGGAAAAACAAGAACAGACTCACTGTCGACTAACTGGGAGCTTTCTTCAAAGTCGGAGTGCATATGCCTGAGAGGCAAGGAACCAATAGTCTGCATACAAATAAGGCAGATTTGTAAAATGGATGCACATGCAACACTCAAGTTCTGGACTACAGTCCAGAAGTGGATGAACAACCAGAACTTTCCGTCAAAGTTTACCGCTGGTGAATGCGAAGAAGAAGATATATACTATTATGATTTGTATTCACTGAAACAAGACATGGTCATCTTGAGGGACCCCTCCCCCTCTTGGAATTATAAAAGGCTAAGGCCCCCACCCCCTTCCCTCTTTCAATGTTTTGTTAGCGTCTGCATACAACTCTCTGCATCATGTGACACTGCTGGTCTCCTCGGCATAAAGTTGTAGCTGTCAATACACAAAATAAAATAAAAGACAGTCGATATCACAAACTAAAGACTTTCATAAAAACATTTGGAAGTGCCAAAGAAATTAATTATATGTGAAAATGATATATGAAGATGGAATCTTCAAACATCTCTGTACTTTTGGCTGTAATCATCATCAATAGGTGCCTTGCCTCTCTACAATCTGCGATCTCCTGCAGTATGTATCAGTTCGTCTGCTGACACACCTCCATGCCATGCAACAAGACTTTCAAGAATCTTCTCTCATTGTCTTCCTCTATCCCTCCTTCCACAGATCTTTCCAGTGGTCACAACATGTTCCATTTTCCCTCTTCTCATAACATGGCCAAAAAATGTTGACTGTCTCCTTCTGATGTCTGTGATAAATTGTCTTCGGGCTCCCGCCTCTTTCAAAACCTCAGGAAATTGTTTGGCCTGCCTACTGATTGTCCAGGACTCACAGCCATATGTTAAAACTGGATGTATTTTATGGTGAGCTGCATGCGACGAGGGTCTAATGCTTTGTTGGGGGATAGAGGGCAGAGATACTGAAAAGTACCTTATATGAAGCGAATAGAAGACTTCTTTCCTCCTGCCCTGACACCGTGAGGTATTCCAATAGTGCACCAAGCGTCCCCCCCACCCCACCCACAAACTCTGCTTATTCCCTGCTGAATAAGTTTCATCAAATCACTCATTCACTTAAGGTTGGTCCTGAGAGACACAGATATCAAGCAGGCAGCTGCAAGAACGCCCAAAAACTGATCAACCAAGACTGAAGTGATCAGTCATTTGTCGAAATTCGTGATTGAGGATCTTAACAACTAACAACTTATTCAGCCATGAATGAGTTATATGAGTTAAATTATCTTCACGGCACTCCGGACACATCCACAGGCGCTCAGATTCCCCTCTCAGCATATTCATCAGTGTCGTGCGGTTAATTGTACCAGTCCTATGTTTATTAACAAGACTTCATGGGCGTCCAGTGTGCTTCTCATGCTTGACTGTGCCATTTTTACTCCCAATTCTCGTATTTATAGCAGTGATGTGGACACATTGCTTCCAAAATTATCAGAACATCCTATCTCTCTAAGGGCAATGACAATGTTTGCGTGATCCATGGGCCGGCAATCTTCAATTAATGCAGCACCTGCCAGTCTGTCAGCTGTTTCATTACCAACTATGCCTGCATGCCCTGGGACGAATATGAAGGTAACTGCACACACAGGAGAATTTTGCAATGACTCAAACCACTGTCTGCATAACCAGCCTGCCTCGACCCGCCGGATCAGCCATGAATATGATATTTCCATTTCATATATTTGATCACAATGAATAGGGCACTAGAAGAGAAAATAACTACCTGTCAAATGTGCTGTCTCCACAAAATCACTAGTTAGTTAAGTCAAGAATTGACATCACAGCACTCTGGGCATTCCCATGCGTGCTCTGACCTCATCTTCAGCAACCAGCCCAGAGTACTGATGGTACAGGTCACAATCTGGTTATAGGTCTGTCTACAAAGTCACTAATAACACAAGAAGGCACAGGGTTACCAATCCAACAGAGAGAAGGTTGGAATAAGACCATGTCTGGATTATACTGACAGACAAAGAATGAAACGTTTCAGCCATCTAGTGAGAATGCAGCCAGACCAAACTGCAAATGAATATCTGAGAGGAAGACCAAGAAGGAGACTGATAAATGCTGTAGCTGAAACTTGCAAAAAGATGAACAAATCCATCACCTGAGAAGTGCAAGACAAATATAGAAAACTAAAATACTGGGTTACAACCTGGTATCAGTAAGATGACAAAAGAAGAAGAAAAAATATCACAAATAATTAAGCTCCAGTGAATAAAGAGATGAGGATAAGATTATGGTGTTGGATAGGACAAACATTGAAAAAACCTGATTATATGATAACTAGAAATATCTTTCTGTGGCACCAAAGTAAAATTCAGAAAGGGAGACTTAAATACATGCAAAGTGAAGGACCCTTTTCTTGTCAGTGGTGCCTCACGCATTTGGTGACAAGACTCATATTTTTATGGACCAACAGGTGATGTGGTGAACGTCATGCTAGCTTCCTTTACTTCCAACGACATTTCCTTTTTCATATTTTATGCTGGGAGCCAAGGTCAGTTATTAACAACCTGCCACAGTGTAAATTCAAACCCAACATCTTCATGTCGACAAGCTAGCACCTAGCCACTGTGGCTCCTTTCCTTACAAAAAGCAGTATTCAAAATTTACTCACACTGAAGATGTCGGAAGTCATGCTTCGAATTGGCACCATTTTTGCGTGTGCTATTTTCTGCTGTTTCTCTTCAGCTTCTGTCCACGGAAAGTCCTAAAAATAAGAAATAATCATTACGAATGCTCTCATTAAATACTATCTTACTACCGTACTGGAAAATTGCAATTTCACCTTTAATCAACACTGCGGTGTTACCATCATCATCATGTGCCCTGTCGACTATCGTAGACATTCATGCATCTCCACAGATCTCTGGATCAGTTCTACACCGATGATATCCCTCCACGCCACCGCCGCAGTCCATCCGTCATCATCTTGCTCGGTCTGCCTCTCCCACTTCTACCGTTGATCTTCCCAGTTGTTACAACATTCTCCATCTCCATAGCCTCCCCCCCCCCCTTTCACATGACCATAGCTGTATATATTGAGTATATACCGTCATCCAACACTGAAAACATTATACTCATTCTTCACTTGTGGATACTGTTTCACCTGAGCATTTGCTGGACAGCTAGCCCCCAGTCCACCCCTCTCTTTCAGCATAAGGCAGCGTTTCCTAAACTTTTCTTAGTTGCGGCACCTATATCGATTAAAAATTTTCCCACGGCGCCCTAACCTAAGTAAAAGTATGACTATTCGTATGTAAGAGATTGTTTTTTAAAAACGCGTATCTTCAAAAATTTTGCAGCGCCCCTGTAAAGAGGTTGTGGCTTCCCCGGGACCCTGCGGCACAGTTTGGCAATCACTGGCATATGACAATCCCGATCAGCACAATGAAACATCTCACACAAGGCAAATTCATTCCCACTTTATGCTGCCAGTGCCAGACTTGGGCACTCAACAACAAACGAGAAAAGAAAATTAAAAGCCAAGCAAATGAGATGCTTGTGAAGGGCTGCAGGAGTAGCTGGAAAACATAAAATCAGGAATGAGGTCTGCTTTTATTTCTATGACCCTGTGAGTTCCAGTGCAAGAATATTCTATTGATATCTTCTTCTTCTGCATTTATCTGAAGATATATACGTATTGTGCCCATTCACAATATGGCTGCCATATTTGAGCTCTTTCGACATTTGTTGCCCAGGTTAGCCCTCCCGTTTAGTTTTATGCGACACTGGAGTCTCATTGTTGTGTTCCTCATCTTTATACTGGCGTGTTGGAAAATGAGCAGGCATATAGACTGGCAGGCTCTGCACCACTCGGTGATGAAATAATGTATGACAAGCTAGATGTTGTGATGACCTTTTAGGAGCGAGTGAATAGTGCGGAGGCGCAGACAGATCATTACTGTATGAGTAGAATGGCGCTGCGAGGAGTTACCAGGGGATCTGGCCGACGCTCAACACTCAGGGAAATGATGAGGCGGATATACAATCAGACGGTTACTGGTGTCATCGGAACTGGAACTCCTCGCTTGCTGCTGAAGATGGGGACGGAGTGTCCCGAGTGCTATGATGTTGATTCTTAATTCTTTATTTCCCAGGTCACAGGTGGTGCCCCAATCAGGCTGGTCCAGAGCAGCCACATAATGCTGGTCATCCCTCAAGAGAAGGCAGGGGCAGAACATGAGTATTCCCCGACATCCAAGGAGGCTTCTACAAATACAGAGCAGATACGTAGTGCTCTGGTTCTAGACTCATCCAAGGAATTGCCACATCATGCTCTTTACGGTTCAGCCTCCATTCCATATATTAAACATCTTGTTCATCATGGGCTTCCCCCTTTAGAAGCCAGCAGGAGGCATTCTGCAGACGAGCAATGTTAAGTCATGGTGCTCATGAATTATTTCTGGACTGGCACCTTTCCAGACGACAGTGTTATATTGCTCTATGAGGAGGCATGGGACTCACAGCTGATGGCGATGGCGAGTGTGACTAGCAAGACCCGCCCATGTCAAAAAAAGTCTTCCACAATGCTAGCACGGGATTTCAGGACTATTGTTGTCAACATTTGTGTTTAATCCGTTTCTTCTCAGACGCTTAGCTCTTATCTTTTCTGCAATCATTTCTTCCTTCACTCTCATTCCCTTCCTGAAATGTCCTTTCCACACAACACGGTCCATGACATTTTGTTCCCATGAGTCCACCGCATGGCGCTCATAACATAGTCACAATTATAACCTAAAGCTCCCCCTTTGGGGATGCTGGTTGATCGTGACGATTTTTAAATTTCTGTTTCAGCAAAGCGCCCCCTACCATGATATCGAAAGGAATGCGAAGGATAGAACAAGATGGAGGTCTAGACGGAGAGCGCTACGTGATGTATCTTCTTCTTCTTCTCTTCCGCCTTGTACCTCATCGAAGTGTCGGGGGGTATGTGATGTATAATGGCACAACAGTACAGTACACTGGAAAGCAATTCTCTGGCTTGTAAAGGACACATATTTCACACACATATCTACGTAACTGATCCAGTCTCCTACAGATCACAAAGAGGAAACCTCAGCAAAGTGTAGGAAATCTGTAGTAGCAGTGGTCTAACTCTGTTTCTTGCAGTGTTATTAGCTACTAGAGATTTTCAGAATAATCATCTTAATGGCTCTATCCCCCCCCCCCCCCCCCCCCCCCCCCCCCCCCCCCGGAGAATTATCAGTGTTACTGGTTACTAAAGATTTTCCAGAATTATGACAAAATGACAAAATAAAAAAAAGAAGTGGATTGGTTGTTTGCTTCGTTAGGTGGTTGGATCATTTTTTTTTTTTTAACTGGAAATCTACTAAAGAGCAAAGTCGTAACTATAAAACTGAAGCATTGATATTCAATCACTTGAAATATAAATATGTCTTTCGTAATAATATCGAAACGAGCTTGGTACACAGAAACACAGTTAATCACATGATAAAAAATTTATTATGGACAACCACAGTTTGTCAGCTTTAATGTGAGGGCGGCAAAGGAAGAGGAAGATGTAGGAAGGGATGGATTTACGGTATATGGAAAACTTTTTATAACAATTGACCAGAAACATCTACCGTGTGACTCATTTGAAAAAATACATTCTTCGACAACTTCCGAAGTATGATATCATACTGTAATGAGAAAAATTAAAGCAATATATGCAGTCATTTCTTCCACCTGTTCTACCTGATTGTGATTTGCAGTTATGCTCAATTTTCTTACTGATTTAACCAAACCTAAATTGTCTATATTAAAGTGTTTATTATAAAGCATTGTGTTCTTTTCTCGTGTGTTTTGGTCAGTTCACTCTGCTGTATACCGGGGCTCTCAGCATAGATGATGGGCAGCTCTGGAGTTTTCAGAATTATCAGTGTTTTTGGCTACTCACCTTTTGCTGCAGGCTGTAGTAATGCATCAGTCACATTTAGTTTTAGCAGCAAACTTCTGAGTGCTTGCTCTGCTTGAAACAGGTGTGGGTCTTTTCTGAAGTCAGATCAATAAATAAGCTGTGACACTATTTATTTAATCTTGTAATTGTTTTTCTCAAATTACTTTGAATTTGGAGTACCACAACAATAAATTAAATCAGGAAGGGGCCCTCGACCCCCATATAATTTTCCAGGGGGCTTCTCAAGGGGCTAAAGTCTAATTTAAGAGTGCAGTATTTAAAATATCATTACGATTACATGCTAAATGTTAAAAATAAAGCTGAATAATATAAATGAAACAATATGAAATGTATAAGCAAAATACTTAAACAAAGAATGTGATAAATGGTAAGAGAGGAGGGGGGGGGGGGTGTTGAGCTTAACCCCCTCCCCCTTTTCCAATCAGCATTAGTGGGGAGGGGGTGAAAAGAATTATGGAAAGGGGGCGGCCATTTATGTGTCAAAGCTTATTTTTTCTGGCGTTTATGTCATAAACATTATGTTCAACAGTCTCCAGTGCATTTTAAATGCACCAAATTTCTACCAGGCAATTGCCATCCACTTTTTTTAAATTAGCGTTCATTGGCTTTGATCTCTGGTGGATAGTTCTGGTTGTTCGTCTATTTGTCTTATTCCAGAACTGGAGTTTTGCATGCACATCCATTTAACAGAACTGGCTTATTTGTATGCAGACTGTTGGTTCCTTACCTCTCAGACCAATGCCCTCTGACTTCGAAAGGAAGCCATCAGTAATTATTCTGATGTATTTATTTATATTCACTGTACTGGTCATAACCACACTGTCTGTTCACAGCACTTCTTCTTCTTCTTCTTCCGCCTTTCTATCCCCCAATGGAGCATAGGCCCTCAACCAACTCACGCCAAGTCGTGTCACAGCACTTACAATAGATATTTGCACTTTCAACAAACTCATCTCTTCTTAATATTAGTGTGCAACCGCTGTAAACTCTGGCAGAAAGTTCTGGTGGTTTGTCCACTTCTGGACTCAGGGTTTATTCGCCCCCCCCCCCTCCCACCACTGGAACCCACATAAGGAAGACATTTCTAACTTCATCATTATCATGTGCCTTGCTAGATGGTGTCGTCCTTCAAGTCTCTCAAAAGATTGATCTATACTGTTCTGAATGAATATACTGGTGATATTTATCCATAAAAATAGTAATAAAAAACATCTTAAGAGAAACTGACTCATGAAGAAAACTGACTGCCCACATTAGAAAGAGACAATCTACATTCTTTGGTCATCTGATGAGAAGGAGAAAACTGGAATACATTGTGACAGCAGGAAAGTTGGAGGGAAGGAGAGGCAGTGGGAGATTGAGAAAACAGATACTGGACAGTCTGACATCATGGCATGGAGGATACTCTGTATCAGAGCTGACTGAAAGTCCACGAGATAGAAGGTTGTGGATAGACATGACTACCAACGCCACATGGCATGGACTTTAAGAAGATTTATCCATGCTATAGTTTTAAATAATCTAGAATCATTTCTCTTTTAGGCCGCCAGTGCTTCAGACTTAAAGGCTAAATCTTTCAGAAGATTCACAACCAACCAGTAAACAACAGAGAAATCTAGGCTCATTAACCAAAGACAAGATCAGTAACTAAGACTGTCTGATGGATTATAGTCAATGTCGATGACTTGAAGAATGTTTTTCAGTTCTAACTTCAATTCCTCAAGACCAGGGCTTTTCAAGTGGCGGCCCGCTTGCCACATCTGGCCCACGGAGGCGTAGGAAGTAGCCCGCGGATCACTGCCTGTTGTATAGTATTAACGATCTTTCTAGCCTGGGGCTCAGATCTCTGCCATGTGATGATTCACATTTTCTAAATTTTGGCCCCTGAGTATATTTTTTTTAGTTGCGTATCTTTTACAGGATGTTGTAGAACCAACCCCTGTTGCAGAACCAAGCCTAGCATTGGCTGTTGTAGTTTTTCTGGCAAATTTACGTCCAGTAGTTTGCCATCGCTTTCTGGAATGTCAGCAACTCAATACCACTGTCGAAACCAATGCAAGGCCCGCAGCTGGGATCGAACCCGGCACCCCAGCATTATGTAGCGCGTGGGCAAAGCCTAAGCCACAGATGCCGACCCCCTGAGTATACTAAGTTGAACAGTCCTGCTCAGGGTAATATATGACAAGGCAGATGTAGTCAAGGCCCTTTGGAAACAAGCAACGGAATCAGTAGAGAAAGAAGATTATTATGGCCTGGAGAGAATGAGGCACCTGGGTGTAACCAGAGGGTCGGGCCGGTTCACTACACTCAGAGGAAAGGCAAGACGGACATGTAACCAGATTGTGACCAGTACCATCAGTATTGGAACTCTGCGCTGGCTGCTGAAATTGAGGACGGAGCACACATGGGAATGCCCCGAGTGCTTTGATGTCAATTCTTGACTCAACTCCTGCTCTAGGTAGTCAACTTTGTTTATTATACTGAACTAGTATTTTGTTAAAGAATTCTTTCACATTCACAAACAGGTAGAACTTACTCCTTCCAACTGTTTCTAATTTCACCAACTTCTAAGACAAAACGTTCAATCGGTGAATTTGTCTCTTCTTGTAAAATCACAACTGATATTTTGTCAACTCTTCCCTTTGATAGCAACGTCTTGAGGCTGTCTATAACACTACCAATGTAGCTGCACACATCAGGGTGAAGGCACATCTGTAAGATTATTTTATATTTAAAAATTAATGGATGTTCTATAGTTTCACTTACTGAATGATTTACAGCAGGGCTATTTAACTGGTGGTCCACAGGCCAAATCTGGCGCATGGAGGTCTAGCAAGTGGCCCGCGGAGATCATTGCCAGTTGTACTGTATTACTGATCTTTCTATGCTGGTCCGTGGCGATCGCCATTTTCAAAATGTTGGCCTTGAGTAAACTTAGTTGAATAGCCCTGGTTTACTGTATGCACTACACTAAAATCCATTGTGGCACAGTAGTCAGCATGTTTGCCTACCTCTTCTACCAGTAGTCAGCATGTTTGCCTACCTCTTCTACCAGTAGTCAGCATGTTTGCCTACCTCTTCTTCCAGTAGTCAGCATGTTTGTCTACCTCTTCTTCCAGTAGTCAGCATGTTTGCCTACCTCTTCTACCAGTAGTCAGCATGTTTGCCTACCTCTTCTACCAGTAGTCAGCAAGTTTGCCTATCTCTTCTACCAGTAGTCAGCATGTTTGCCTACCTCTTCTACCAGTAGTCAGCATGTTTGCCTACCTCTTCTACCAGTAGTCAGCATGTTTGCCTACCTCTTCTACCAGTAGTCAGCATGTTTGCCTACCTCTTCTACCAGTAGTCAGCATGTTTGCCTACCTCTTCTACCAGTAGTCAGCATGTTTGCCTACCTCTTCTACCAGTAGTCAGCATGTTTGCCTACCTCTTCTACCAGTAGTCAGCATGTTTGCCTGCCTCTTCTTCTTGGTGTTCACCAGCTGTAAACTCCTGCAGAAAGTTCTGGCTGTTTGACCACTTCTGGAATTTGGTCTTGTTCTAAAACTTGAATTCTGCATGCATATCCAATTTACAGATTTGGCTTATCTCTAGCTACTCAGCACTCAGGCAGACAGACTATGACTTTAAAGGAAATACCTCTAATGAGTCTAAATTTATGACAGGCTTGTTGTTGGGCAGCCGATCTTTTACTTTTATTGTTTTTCTACATTCTTCTTCTGCATTTGTGCTTAAAAGGGTGGTTGGCACAATGTGTTGTGGTTTACAGGCAGGCTGCAATATCTGCACCTTTTGGTTTGACACATTTGATTTCAAAAAATGTTCATCAGCAACCTTTTAGGACATGCTTGCAGGGTGGGCTGTGGGTTTAATGTATGTTTATTTTTTCCTCACCAAAATGAGGCTCCAGAAACAAACTGGGGATACACTGACCCAGAGTGTGAGAACAGAACTGTCAGTAGGGAATGATAGTAGTGAATCTTCATGTGTGTACTGACTGACCGATACATGACCCACATAACCAACTTCGTGTATACATTTTTCCCACAAATAATATTAGGAATAATTCAATTTACCTGAAATGGCACATTGTATTTCACACGCTTTTCAAATACACCCTGTGGATAAAGATTCCTGTTGTAGAGGATGCAGTGGATGGCCACTTCAATGAACTCTGCCAGAATGTCGATACTGATGTTATCTGTGAAATAACAACAATCAGTTGTGCTATATCATAGAACATAAAACCTAAATAAGGGAAAGTAAAAGGGCACTTTTCCACGCCTTTAGGCATATTGGGCATATGGATTAGACTTATATTTTATAGGCCAGTCGACACTCAGTGGATGATGTTGTCAGCATCACTTTCCAGGATTAACTCTTTCAGTCCCAAACAACATATGATAGCACTAATCCAGGATTAACTCTTTCAGTCCCAAACAACATATGATAGCACTATTGGGAATCCCACCCAACATGTAATATGTTCCAGTCCTTTACATAATTGGTCACAGCATTTAAAAAAAATCTGGCTTCCCCTCTATTTAGCATATCTGAAAGCATTAAACCCATGGTTTTCCTATTGGTTATTATATCCAATAAAAATGCAGAGATGTGGAACATGTCACAAGATCTACCTGTTTTTGAAAAAAAAAAACCATGGAGTTCTGTAGAGAAGAACAGGGGTTGCGTGGTCTTGAGGCATGGCGTCTGCCTTGAGTGCTAGAGGTCCGGGTTTAAGCCCCGGTGAAGGCTAAGATTTTTTTAAGTGAACTTCTAGTAATTTCCATCCGTTTCTGGGTAGTAAGATCATACGCCGGTGTGTATTGCTGTGCACATAAAAAAATCCCTTGGCATTTCAAAATCGAAAAGAGTAGCCTAACAGCACTGCCTCGGCAAAATCTACCCAAAGTATTTCAGGATCCTCACTGGTGCTAGAGAGTTTGTGCACTGTGCTGAGATTCTTTGGACTCAGGCTTACTCTTCTTGGTGTCTTGAGACTTGACTTGGGACTTGGTGGCAATGACGTGGGACTCGACTTGAACTTGAAGGGTGAGGACTTAATTTAACCTCTGCTAGTGTCATTATAACCATAATTACCCAGGCGAATAATTACATTATTTTATTAGTATAAATATTAATTATTCGGTCATTCAGCAGCTAAATTCGGAAGAGGATCTACTGCCCCTTAACAAGCATGTCGTAAAAAGTGACTAATTATAGCGGCTCTACTTTGAACTTCCCCATAAAATGGCAGCCGTAATATGATGCCGTTCGAAAGAGAGCTAAATTGGCCAATTTCTGGCCATAAAATATCAAAAAATATCAGAATGGGGCTCAGTTCTATAAAAGTATATGTGCCGGCTCCACATAACGAAACAAATGCTCTAACGGATGGGGACTAAACTAGATGGCTGGGACTCACGAGCGGCAGCTACCGCATCTCCTGCAACTTCCTCCAATTACTTTACTCGTGAGTCCCAGGCACCTAGTTTAGTCCCCCATCCGCGCCGTGCATAGCGGCGCGGGGGATAACCTCGGCGTGAATTTAGTCGCGTTTTCGCATGCTGACAAGTCTGACATCTACCGCTGCTAAATCCTCAATCGGAAGAACAGTATTGCTAATATACGTGCGAGCCGTGCGCGGTCTACCCGCCATATCGCTGTCATCGTCTGTAATGTCTCGAAATTGTCAACAGTCGCTTTTATCGTCTGCTAGTATCATCTGCAGAAACGCTCAAAATTATCGTCTGCTCCTATCGTCTGCTACTATCGTCTGAAGAAACAGTCGGTATTTATCATCTGCTACTACCATGTGCAATGTTGATATTGATTGTCAAGTAATCCTAGTTTTGCCGCGATTTGTTCCTAGGCAGAAAGTCCGTATTTTAGATATACGTGAACACCGTTCGGATATTTTATGGCCAGAATGTGCCATCATATTACGGCCGCCATTTTAAGTGGAAATTCAAAGTAGAGTTATTATAGCTTTGCCTAAAAGTGCATATACTGCAGTCTAGCTGTAAACCACAACACAACATGCCAAACACTCTTTTACGGGGTAAAGCAGAAAAAAAATTAGTTTGTTATAAAACAATTATAAACATATATTGTTAGTCGTACCAACCTTCGCTCATTATAGAATTAATAAATAGCTTATTAATAAACAATTGATACTGAGATTTTGGCTGGCCAGTGTAACTCGTACCTGAAAAAAAAAAAAAAAAAAAACCTCGGTATCTTAAAACATCCCTTATGGAAACACTGTAGCACATTAGTTTGGTATGCGACAGATTCACACTTTTTAACACATTTGGTTCCCGAGACAAGCAATCAATCAGTATTTCAATAATAGCTGAACTAGGGAAATTTGTATCTGGTGAATAGAGGACTAAACATCATGTTGAGAGATGTGTAGTAAGCGCTAGCAGTATATTCGTTTCTCCAAAATGTGAGAGACTCAGTTTATATTATCAATGCCCTCAGAGAAATGGGAAGGATAGACGACTTTGGTGGCAGTGAATCCACATCACTCGCCAGAATGGCAGACTTGGGAATTAAGATCGGCACAGCAAAAAACGAGACGCACACCAGCTACGCCAGAAGACTTGTTAATCAACATAGAACTGGTACTATTAGCCATCGGACGTTGGGGTTCATACTGAGGGGAGGATCTGAGCACCTATGGACATGTCCGGAGTGCAATGAGGATAACCCAACTAACTAACTAACTAACTAACTAACTAACTAACTAACTAACTAACTAACTAACTAACTAACTAACTAACTAACTAACTAACTAACTAACTAACTAACTAACTAACTAACTAACTATCTTTTACCTCACCTTGCCAGTGGTTTTACAGATGACTAGTCTGTTGTTGAATTAAGAATCGACATCACATCACTCGGGACACTTCTATAAGTGCGCCGTCCCCATCTTCAGCAGCAAGCTAAGAGTTCCAATTCTGCCACCAGTAATTGTCTGTAAATTTCTTTCTAAATTTCCTTCTTTTCCTTGAGTGTTGAGCCTGGGCCAGACCCTCGCAGCGTCATTCTCCTCAGACCATAATGATCTATTGTGTCTCAGCACTGTTCACTCGTTCCTAAAGGGCTACTCACAACATCTAGCTTGTCATACATCAATTTACAACTGAGTGATGCAGAACCGACCAGTCTGTCTGTCAGCTCGTTTTCCGACACACCGGTATGATCTAGAGAAAATCTCCAAAGGACTCTAACTACCCGGGACCTCTGTAGCGATGCTGCACGGAGCATGAATGTCTCACTTTTCCCGACATGCTCTGTGCAACATAAGCAAATATCTAGAAGTGAAAATCCTGAGAGCATGTATGTCTCCTGTACGAAATCTTTTTCACAGTCACTGAAAAAGTAAATGAACATTTTTAAACTTTTTTTTTTTTTTTAATAGAATGAGATTCTTCAGTATTTGAACAAAGAAAGGGCTGGTACTTAGAAAGTATCGTTTCTTGGAGACTAAAGTATCATCATCATCATCATGCAGCAGGTCCTTTGCATAACATTGCTCTCGTTGCGGTCAGTCTATAAAAAAAAACTCGAGTGTCTACGAATCACAACCGTATGCTACAACAAGGAAGAAGCGGTGTTTGTGATCTGCCTGACCTGGGGGACTCACTATCAGTCACGTTAAACGCCTTAGTGACTTGGAGAAAACAGTAATGGAGGAGAGTGTGTGGTTCCTTTAAGAAGAGAAAGGTGTCGACTAGCATGTGAAGTGTCAGTCGGGTCTGGAGAGAACGCTGATTAAGGATGTAGTCTCCAGAAATTAGGTAGAGGTCGATTTCCGTGAACGTGGATACCATACATTGATAATGCGTTGGATATGAAAGCAATGCACCAGCGCATTAAAAGCAAGCAATGCACCAACGCATATGGGAAGAAGCATAGACAGGGCAGATTTCGTCAACGCTGTACAGACTGGGTTAGTGGATAATGAAAAATATCTTACACTGACACGATTGCGTGACATGGTTGTAAAGCATGGTGAAGCCAGTATATCGCCTTTGAGGTCGAGATAGAAGACATTAAAACCAACTTCTCACGGGGACAATTTTTAGAAACACCTTGGAATGGCTGCTGCATCGGAGGACTGTGCACGTATGGGAATGCCCAACGTGCAGTGATGTCGATTGTCTTCTTCTTCTTCGCGTGTCACCAGCTGTACACTATGGCGGAAAGTTCTGGTTGCTCGTCCACTACTGAACTGCAGTCCTGCTCCAGAACCTGAGGGTTGCGTGTGCATCAGTTTTACAGATCTCATTCTCTTGAATATAGACTGTTGGTTCCTTGCCTCTCCGGCAGATGCACTCAGACTTCAAAGGAAGATCCCCAAATTAGTCGACTCTTACGACATGCTTTTGGGGAGGTAGTGGGTCTATTCTTATTTTCCCCACAATGGGGCCCGGAACCCACACGGGGGTTGTCGATTGTGATAACATATGAAAGCACATAGGGCTGGAAAATTGACTAGAGAAAGAGAAACCATCAGGTCTGCCGTGATGAGAGCGACGTTCTGTACGGGACCTGCTAATTTAGTAATTTTCAATTTATTAAATATTTGAACTGATTCAATATTTGATATAAAAGTCGATGCTTTTCTACCCTCAGTTGTAGAGATCGCCAGTCTTTGCTATCAGCCTTGTTCTTTCTGGCTTTGTTCCATTCCAGTCATCTGTCAGTTAGAGACTGTCAGATGTTATCTTCCCAGCTTTCTCGTCCTGGAGGTCTGGTTTCCTGGTTTTTGGTTTCCGTGGTAACCGATTCTCCCCCATTCTGCATACATGTCCACCGTAACTGTGAGTGATCCTCTGAGTTTGTGAGGACTGCGTTTCAAGATCATTGCTATTTTCTAGCTGCAAACTTTCTCCTTTCCGGTCACTTGGACTACGTTTTTCAGATACCTCGTTTTTTTTTAGGTAAGAAGTTGGCGGCTTCTTACAGCGTTGGTCATTTACATTTCTCCAGAAAAACATGCAAGGCCGTCCTGACTGAGTCATATGCCAATCCAAAATCTACGGGCTGTCTTTCTAGTCTCTGATGAATGACAGAATTACAAGAGACCTTGGCTAATGCCAGTATCTCATTGGAGGCAAGGGATGTCCTTGTTTGTCTCCCCATCCCAATCTTGCATAAAGCCAAAGTGAACACATGCCATTAGGGTTACCGACACAAAGAAAGCAATGGGGGTTGGGGATATTTGGAAAAAGGGGTGGGGGTGGCAATTTGCGCTCAGCACCCTTTCAAATGTTTTAGACCCCCGTGTGGGTTATGGGGCCCCATTGTGGGGAAAACAAGAATAGACCCACTGCCTCCCCAAAAGCATGTCGTAAGAGTCGACTAATTGGGGAGCTTCCTTTGAAGTCGGAGTGCATCTGCCGGAGAGGCAAGGAACCAACAGTCTGTATTCAAGAGAATGAGATCTGTAAAACTGATGCACACGCAACACTCAGGTTCTGGAGCAGGACTGCAGTTCAGTAGTGGACGATCAACCAGAACTTTCTGCCAGAGTGTACAGCTGGTGAACGCGAAGAAGAAGAAATGTTTTAGAGGGGAAGGACTTTAGGAACCCAAGCCCCGTTTACGTTTACCTGCGCAATATTACTTTTATAATAATAATATAATAATAAAAATGGCATCGGCAGTCCCCGGGGACTATGGAGATGTGCCGCTGGCTTTGGAAACAGCATCTGCTATGACTGTAAAGTCTGATGCGTGAGTGGCGGTTTCTGCCAGATAGGATAACTCAGAAAAGTAGATACTCCCTTGCTATAAAGCCGATTTTTCTCTCTGGCGTCTCCTCTTTATTGCTGTCTATACTTTTATTACTATAACTTTTATACTTGGGGAAAATGGGAGGGGGGGGGGGCACTTACAAGCTTGCACATTCTTTAGAAAGAAGGTAAGGAACTCACCCTACTGGTTAAGAAAATATTGGGGGATGCTAAAGATGCATGTGCTCCCAGGTTGCGGGCCCTAGTGAGATGAAAGACAACCTGGCTATGAAAATGTTGTGTAAATATAATGCCACACCGCCAGTGACAAAAACCCAAGATGAGATGAGGTCTACAGTAACCATCGTTTTGTTTCGCCAATAGTGAGGGATAAGATCCGCATTTTGAATTGTTTCGTCTCGACCATTCCCAATTTCCGGATCCTTTTTTCTGCAGAGTCGGCAACAAACATGGCTGTGGGTAAAAATAAGCGGCTAACTAAAGGAGGAAAGAAGGGCACTAAAAAGAAAGTGTAAGTCTTTAATCGTGGACGGATATATTGCTTTATATGTATAAAGCTCAACTGCAAATAAACTATGTATTGATGTCTGGCGTTAAGATTGATTGCTATGGATGTAAATATGAAATTCAATGTAAAATAATGTAAACAAAGCTCATTTAAAAAAAAAAATATTGAGTATATTATGAAATTAATACGTAATGCAGGGTATATATCTTTTCTATATATTGGATTCTTCTGTCTTTTGCCCGCCTCATGAAGCATAGATCCATAGCCAACTCAAGGCCACCCCACTACGATCTTTCACCATCTTAGATATGCCATATGGCTCTCTCCAATCCACATTGTTCTCACCATGTAAACAATGTCCATACACGATAAATACCTGGATGACTTATCCGTAAAGATAGGGCAAGACAACAACACTGACCTGATCTGTGATTCTGGTGATAATGTACGGTGGAGAAACTTGACAGCCTGGCTTTGTCGGCATTGCCCATGTTTTTCATGATGTGTGGATTTTGTCTCCTAGTTTGTCTAGCTACTTCAAATTTTTAAAATGCCCTCTACACCAAGTAAACCAGCACAATTAGATAGCTGTAAACAATCTCTTTCCAATGGTACCTCATTTAGGCTTGTATGTCATTTCTGATCTGAGATATGTAGGTTTTTGTAGAGATGAGATGTAAGAAACAGCTGCTAAAACTTGTGACCCAGAAACAAGAAGTTTTTCTCTGCTCAGCCGCATGCGATTGCCTAAAAAATGTCACTGTAAATCTAAACAGCCAAAAACGGGAAAAATTTTATATACAGATGTAAAATTAGACGGAGAATTCAATTATAACTAGCATTACCACATCTGGTAATGTTTAAGGCCTAAAGCCAACTTTGAATACTTAACGCTATTTTTAATCAAACGGATGTAACAGAAAAACAGAGGACGTCCGGCTGTCGTAGACATGCGCTGTTAATCGAGTTCCTTCCCGCTGTTTTCAGCCATTTAGAGTGGGTGAAAATCACACCAATCGCAAAATTTCATGAGAGATTAGAACCCATCCCGAAACCCCAGCAGACATTTCGGAAACAAGTTTCAAACGGTTTCCATGGTAACGGAAATTGTCGAAAAGATCGCAAATTTCCGAAACTGTAGTCGCTAGTTTGTCTCTGACTAGAGTATCATATTGTGGCCACCGTCCTTATTCTTAAACCAGTCTAGTCAGTGTTATAGAATATTTATAGTGCATTATTCACTTGATTAATCTGTCTCATTGCAGCGTGGATCCATTCTCCAAGAAAGAATGGTACGATGTCAAAGCACCTTCCATGTTTTTAGTGAGGCAGGTTGGAAAAACTTTAGTCACACGGTCTCAGGGAACAAGTAAGTGACCTCATTCTATGAAAACTGCTAATTTTGCAGCACAATATGAGAATGTCAGGATGTACAAACTGCTGTATGATTGTTTTGTGTCATGCCTAATTTTATCCATATTCATAGTCATTTTTGAAACTAAGATATTTTCTGGCTATCCTCCGAATAGCGGTCCTAAATTATTAAGGCGGAAAATATACTCTAAAAGGGCCTCAGTCATGTGTCAATTGCGCACTTTCGGCGACTATAACGCCACCGCCGAGAGTAGCCCCCATGCCGCTCACGTGGATTGGAGCTAAACTAAATGGCTAGGACTCACGAGCCAATAAAATGAAGGAAGCTGCAGGAGATGCGGTAGCTGCTGCTCGTGAGTCCCAGCCATCTAGTTTAGCCCCAATTCACGCCGCATGAGCGGGGTGGGGGATATTCTCGGCGGTGGCGGAAGCGCGCAATTGACACGTGACTGAGGCCCTGTTAGGGTATATTTTCTGCCTCGATAATTCAGGACCGTTATTCTGAGGATAGCCTATTTTCTTTTATCTCAGTAGATGCATACAAATAAATATCCCAAGACTTGTTACATAACCTGAGTGTTCCGTGCACATACATTTTACAGATCTGGATTATTGATATGCAGACTGTTTGTTCCTTGCCTGTCGGGGCAGGTGCACTTCGTCTTCAGATGGTGCCCCCAGTTAGTCGACTTATGTGAACTCAGTAAAACTATATTGCTTTCATTATATAGTCAAATTTAAATATGTTTGTCATGTCTGTATTCTTCTCTCACACATACTGCCAGTTGTATCTAGTACATGTATTTCTACCTTCTTTTCAGTCCTCTCTTCATCTCCACTTTTCATACCGTGTCACATCTGAACAGTTATTGCATACTTATGTTTTAATGTGACCTTTGAACAATTTTTTAACCTTTTGTTACAGAAATTGCCAGTGATAACCTTAAGGGTCGTGTATTTGAATGCAGCCTCGCTGATCTTCAGAATGATGAAGTTACCTTCCGTAAATTCAAGCTGATAGCTGAAGAGATCCAGGGACGCAATGTGCTGACCAATTTCCATGGTATGTCCCTGACACGGGACAAGATGTGCTCCATGGTCAAGAAATGGCAGGTGTGTTTTGTTTTTGTTGTTGATTTTCAAAGTAACTAATTTTATACATCTTTTTCCTAAATCAACATTTAGCTAAAATTGTAACACATGTGACATTCACATATCCACAATTATAATAATTTGATTATTAAATGCACTGAACATTTCGCAGGCACAAGAGCCCATTTTAAAAATTTTATTAAAAAGCAAGGAAACTAAACACGTAAGAAATAGCAGTTCTACTATTCACTTCAGTCAGCTACACACGTGTCTAGCCCACACGTTTCCGCTGACCGTAACTGTTACTGCCCTATATTTAAGACGGCTTGGAAGAAAGAAAAAGAAATCAACACAGAACTGGTATTTTCAGCCACTACACACTACCAGGAGCACTTATACATACATTAAATGGTTTGATGTACATTGAGGGCGATATGTCGATCCCAGACACTGGTCTAAGCTAACATGGATGTAGGGTGAGCTGTATGACTGACTAATTATGCAACTGTTATAGTTTCCTCTCTCTTTAATCCCAGACACTGATGATCGAGGCTAACGTGGATGTAGGGTGATCTGCAGACTAACTAATTATACAACTGTTATAGTTTTTGCTCTCTTTAATCCCAGACTGATGATCAAGGCTAACGTGGATGTAGGGTGATCTGCAGACTAACTAATTATGCAACTGTTATAGTTTTTGCTCTCTTCAATCCCAGACACTGATCGAGGCTAACGTGGATGTAGGGTGATCTGCAGACTAACTAATTATACAACTGTTATAGTTTTTGCTCTTTTCAATCCCAGACACTGATCGAGGCTAACGTGGATGTCAAGACCACTGATGGCTACCTGCTGCGAGTGTTTGTCATTGGCTTCACAAAGAAGAGGAACAACCAGGTCAAGAAAACATGCTACGCCCAGCATGCTCAGGTACGTGTTGACCTCTTGAGTTTCCCCATGTTGGATCCAGATAGAGGGGTCCAGATTGGGGGGGGGGGGGGAACAAGAATAGAGCACTGCCTTCCCAGCAAGCATGTCGTTGGAGTCAACTTATTGGAGGTGGGGGTGTTGCTTCGAAGTCGGATTGCATTTGCCTGAGAGACAAAGGACCAACAGTTTGCATACAGAGAAGTCAGATCTGTAAGACAGATGTGCACCCAACACTCTCTGGGTTCCGGAACAGTCCCAAAGTTCAGAGGTGGACGAACAACCTGAACTTTCTGCCGAAGTTTACAGCTGGTAAATGCAAAGATCTCTGAGTAAGTTAGTGGGGTACCAGGAGATGATTCATGCTAGACATTCATGCTAGACCTGCCTCTTTATCTTGTGGATGTGGTGATAAAATAATGCAACATTTTATTTTAGATTAGCTCAAATCACGTGCTCACTTTCTTTAGTACTCAAGATTTCTGATTTCTTTGATAGAACATTTTTCAAACTAACCATTAAAAAAAATTGTAGCCTAGTTGCCGTTTCCTTGTGTATCTGGTTGTCCAGCTCGCCGTCGTCGTACTAGTTAGCCTTATACCAGTAAGTTGTGCAAATGTTCACACTGTCTACTGGGGGGGGGGTGTACCATTATTTATGCTGTTTATAGACCTGTTTATAGACCTTTAATGAAAATACCAGTGTTTATCTACCATTGATATACCTGTTTGTTATATCTTTGTTTTTCCCCTGTGTTAGGACAAGTAACACAAGCTTTTTAGCGACAGTATTACATTAAATTAGCAAATTCTAATATGTCTATAACAATTCTGGTGTTCGGTCACATTGAAATGAACATTTCATTCATGCTTAAGAGAAATATCAATAGAAACACATGCTGTAAACACCTACATTTATCTGTGCCAAGCCATGAGGGTTTTTAAGACAGTGAGTGTGCAGATTATCTGGTGGACAGAGTGGTTACTGGACTGGCACCAGACCGCAGTGATGTCATCAATGCAATATGAGATGCATATCGTGAAAGATCACAACAACAAACAGAACTCGTCTCCCTGTCCAGGTTTGTGGACATGAGTGTGTGCTCTGGAGCAGCCACACATCATTTCACAAAGGAGGAGCATGGTCGGTCGGCTTACTCTTGTGGAGCTCTTGAAGGAAGAGATCAGAGCACCTGTTGATCTATCTGGCATGCTGTAATCAGCCCTCACTATTCACCGTTGAGGTCATCTGAAAACAAGTTTCTGCTGTGCAGACTGATTCAGGATTGTTTGTCGACAAAATAATTAGATTGCAGTCTTCAGGTATGTTTGTTTTTCTGCAGGTCAAGGCCATCAGGAAGAAGATGGTGGAGATCATTACAAGGGAAGTTTCTACGAATGACATGAAGGAAGTCGTCAACAAGCTGTGAGTTTGAATATGGAATAATTTTAGTTGCGTTTGTGAAAGTGTTTAGTTACTACAAATGTCTGAATTGACTGTTATTGCTTGCCTTCAAATCTACTGGCCAGCGTCTAGCAGCCACACCGTGGCGGCTCCTGGTCACAAACATGATGTATTTACAGTCACTCACCCCTCCATTCCTCAACTTGATTTCAACGCAACACATTCTTGTAAATTTCCAACTACTGTAGTAGTTAAGGTAGTCCTGAAGTTTTTGTTGCTCTGCATTCACGGGTGGCAAGACTTTTTGTTGACTAGATTTGCTCTAAGACTGTAGTGTCCTGGCAGAAACCTAACCATTTTTTAAAAGTAATTTTGTATATGCTGTTACTGTCTAGTCTCTAATTCTAATCTCCAAATTCTTATAGGTTTAACCAAGCGTTTGTAGTTAATGTTTTACTTTCTTGCACTCATCAGCATCCCCGACAGCATCGGCAAGGACATTGAGAAAGTCTGCCAGGGCATCTACCCACTACACGATGTGTTGGTTCACAAAGTAAAAGTGCTGAAGAAGCCCAAGTTTGATGGTAAGTGTGTTCTGTCAACATCAGAATGTGATAAATGAAATGACGTGAATTGTCACGAAGTAAAAAAAATGTCCTTAACATGTCTTTCACAGTTTCTAATGTCCTATTTCTCTTGCTGCTCTGTATATCACATATCTCTTCTTGAATCCATTCAGGTCTTGTTTTCCTAGAACACCTGTCTCTGTTTTTCAGACCTGCGGTTTTTGTTACTTACCAAAAAATAGATTTCGCACAATTGTGTCTGCTAGTGTTCTGAAGCTTGATCATTCCTTTAGCACATAGACTAGTCTAGTCGCCTGTGCTCAGTTGCCTACTATGATTACTATGTATCTGACTCTCTTTCCAATATCTGTGAAAGTATACATGTCTTCTTCCTACACTTGTGGTTTGTATTTCCCTACAAAATGTTCAATTTTAACAAATCCTGAATTGATCACCTAATACATGTTTGCTAGTGAGCAGGTCCCCCCCCCCCCCCCCCCCCCATTCCAAAATTGGGCCCTGAAACCCACACAGAAATAATGTTCTTATATGTGCATATATTTTGCACCAGGAATAATTTTCTTACTTTAGCATATATTAGAAACTTTTGCACCAGGAATAATAGGCCATTGTTTTTACCAATTCAGTCACATGATGAATTACCAGAGGATAGTAGAGGGGGCATACTATCAGACTGTTACTGGTATCATCGGAATTGAAACTCAAGCTTGCTACTAAGGATTGGGACAGAATGTTTATGGAATAGTCTCGAGTGACGTGATGTCAGTTCAGCATTTAGCCTTAGAATGATTCACTATTTATATTCAGTGTGCTTGAGTATTCCATTAGTTTGCCACATAGACTGCCATCGGAACCTGTCAGTTAAGATTTGTCTCTGTTTCAGTTGGCAGATTGATGGAGCTTCACGGTGAGGGCGGGCCCACAACTACCACAACCAAGACTACCACAGAGAGCGGCGAGAAGGTCGACAGAGTTGATGGCTATGAACCTCCTGTTCTTCAGACTGTCTAGAATTTGAAATGAATAAATGATTTAAAGTGGTTAACCGTTTTATTTCTTGTTTGTTTGTGCTGGTTGTTTCCAACTTGAGATGGTTGGTTGGGAAAACTTTAGAAGCTGATCTTTCAAAGTCCTTCGTGGTGGCTTGCATCTGTTGGAGTGATGCAGGCATTTTTTTCTGGCATAGTGCGGTGTTTGCATGGCTAGCGGAGTAGAAACCAACTTGTGCGCTAATAATGGTGTTCCAGGACTCGAATTGGTTTTATATATTTCTTTAGCCTTCCCTGTTGACACACAAGCAGATACCCCGGAGTACTAAAGTGAATCTTATAACTATTTTTTGACCAACACTAACGTGGACACAAACATCCTCAAATAAATATTACATGAGGATGAAATGCCTTAGAAGAGCTGCTGGAGATTCATAGAAAGACAATACGAAATAGCACAAAGGCTAGGAATAAAGCGAGTCTTACAAGTCATCAGAGAACAACAAATAAAGTAGTTTAGACACCTAACAAGAATGCCCTGTTACATCTACCACAGCAAAACACTATAGAGCGAGTTGGGAAAACCTAGGAAAAGATGGAGTAACAAAGATGGAGTAACAAACGTTACATCTTTCCCCGACACTTTGCTGAGGTACAAGGTGGAAGAGAAGGTTTATTTAGCTTTATTCACAAAATTCTTTACGGCTACCTATGGTATCAATGGTCAATATTTGTCACAAGAACATTGTAGGATACATATGAAGGTGTCTGAACATGGTTTAGGAAAATGCTAGTTTTTAGTCTGCTACTGTTGGTCGTGTGTGCACATTTACAGATCTGACTTGATTGTATGCAGACTTGGTCCTTGTCGCTCAGGATGTTGCACTCCTAATCGAGAACCACTGCTGCCCTTGCCTTGATGTGCTTGTTATTGGTCAGGGGTTCTTCCCAAATGTGGCACTCACACGGGAGATCTAAATGTATCAATGTGCCATTATAATACAAAATAAGAGACCCTGTTTATGAGCTATACATGTAATTTGTGATGCTACATGTCAGAGTATGTTACAAATCATGAACAAATTCAAGATATACATGGCACAGGAGCCAATAGTAATTACTAAACAAATTTTAACAAAAAATGTATGTTTAAAAAAATACATACCTAAAACTGGCATAAGTGTGATAAATTTAACAGAACAGACCAAGTCAATCATTTTTGCAACTTATACACTGGACATTGCAGACTTAACCAGCATTCATATATATATTTTGTATAAGCCAGTCTGCTGCTCTCTGCCAGTGTCCTAATCTGAACAGATGCCCAGAAACTCAAGGCTGTCCTCTCCTGGCCACATCAGTGAAACTGACAACTCCGCTTTAGGGGAAGCTAAGAGACTTCGAGCGGACTTCACAGCATATGGTCCATAGTGAATTAAAACTTTCACTCCATAAAAATCCTCAATAAAAAAAAAAAATGAACACTAATACAAAAAAAGCCATTTTTGAAAATTTCACTGAGAAAAGCGTTATAATTCTCTAAAATTATATCATAGGGAACTAGACGGAGAGAAGTAGAAATCTTGAGTTTTGGGTAATTCAACCATGCAGGTGGCGCTACCGAGTACACGTATACAGGCAAATGTGAAGTTCACAGCTATATCTACTTCGATAAATATTAATTTCACTTTTGTGTGTGTGTGAAAAAAACTAAATAAGGAATCACTAAATGCACACATCTCAAAGAATAAGCTGCTTTATTTCCCTTTGGGCGTGTCGGCACACGAACTGATACATGCTGCAGGAGATCGTGGATTATGGAGAGGCATGATCACCCACACCAGTCAGCAAGGCACCTGATGATGATGAAAAATAAACAAAGAAATACAATTTGGTAAACCCCTAATAGCACCGCAAGTATATATGTTGTATATATACCATTTTAACCTTTAACTGGACAGTTTTCAAATCATCTAGGATGTTTTTCAAATCAAACTGGACAATTTTCAAACCACCCAAGACATTTTTAAAAATCAAACTGGTCGATTTTTCAAATCATCCAGGATGTTTTTTAAAGTAAACTGGACAATTTTCAAACCAAACTGGACAAATTTAAAAAAAAAATTACTAAATTCGGTGATATGCTGGAATTTTCCAGATGTTCTAGAACATACATTACGTAATTCCTTATGGGATGTTCTTTTGAAATATCTTCTTCGTTCACCGGCTGTGAATTCCGGCAGAAGGTCGTGGTTAATCGTCCGCTTAAACTTTTGGCTTTTACCTGGACCTGAGTTTTGCGTGTACAACCGTTTTTACTGGCTTTCGTCGTTCCCCGTCTCACGGGCAGATGTACTCCGACTTCGAGGAGTGTATACATTATATATATATATACAATAAGCGAATAAAAGCACACACATTCCTCTTTATATAGATATTTTATTCCCTCGATATATTTATATATATATAGCCAGGCCTTTCATGTCTACACAGTGCAGTTACAGCCAGTCCCAAAGTTGTTATACAGGCATAATGGTGACTGTCCAAGACTTCAACCCATCACTGATTTAAAAATCAACATCACTGCCCCCTGGCCATGCCCATAGATGCTCTGTCTCCTGCAGCAAGTGTTGTTAATTGCAGATACTAAATGTTACCACAGCACTAGTGGTCCCCTTCCCCTCAAACGCCACAAAAACGGCTCTCCCAGGACAATAGGGTTAAGGCATGACTGGAGATTGCTGGAAAAAAAATAACAAACAACTAACAATTTTCTATATATGAAACAGGTTGTATCAGTGATGCGAGCCAATATTAATTATTAAATTTTTTTTTTTTAAACAAAAGAAATGTATCTAAAAGTTATACTTGAAACTATCAGTGATTATATCAAAACACATATATACCGAATTGACTATATATATTATGTGTGATGTGACTTCGTTTCTTTGTAAGCTAACATTAATTACAAAATTCTTTTTCTCCACAAGAGAGGGGAGTTGAGTCAAGAATTCTTCTTCTTCTTCTTCTTCGCGTTCACCAGCTGTAAACTCTGGCGGAAGGTTCTGGTTGCTCGTCTACTACTGAACTGCAGTCCTGCTCCAGAACCTGAGTGTTGCGTGTGCATCAGTTTTACAGATCTCATTCTCTTGAATACAGACTGTTGGTTCCTTGCCTCTCCGGCAGACGCACTCCGTCTTCAAAGGAAGCTCCCCAATTAGTTGACTCTTACAACATGCTTTTGGGGAGGCAGTGGGTCTATTCTTGTTTTCCCCACAATGGGGCCCCGGAACCCACACGGGGGTACGCTAAACTCTCAGTCAAGAATTGACAGCATAGCACTCGGGGCACTCTCATAGGAGCTATGTCCCCATCTTCGGCAGCCACTGCAGAGTTTCAATACTGATGGTGCTGGTTGTACTCTGATTATATGTCCATCTTGCCTTTTCTCTGAGTGTAGTGTGCCAGCCAAACCCTCTAGTCACACCTACGTCACACCCAAGACCATAATAATTTAGCTTCCCTTCTGACTTCACTACTTGTTCCCAAAGGGGCTGTGACAACATCTGTCTTTTTAAATGAAAGAATATAGGTAAAAAGCCATACTTGAAACTTTCCTTCAGTGTCATTAAATAATGATTCATCATCATCATGTAGCAGGTCCTTTGCAGAACGTCGCTCTCATCACGGTCTGCCTGAAAGAAACTCAGTCTCCCGCCTCATGTACTTTCATACTCAAGGAGTCACTTATATCCTGTGTCCATCTTCGCTTCGGTCGGTCCCTGCCACTCCTTCCTGGTATCATGCCCTTTGCTATATTTTTTTCCCAATCCGTCGTGGCGCTTGATATGACCAAAATATTTCAGCTTCTGAGAAAGGATGCTATTTATTAGCCAATCTTCCTTCATTTTCAGATCTTTCAAGATGTCATTATTTCTCCTCTTCTTTGTCCAAGATATTTTGAGAATCTTTTTTATAGCATTTCAGCTCAAAAGCCCCTATTCTCTTTCTTAAGGATTGAGAGATAGTCCACGACTCACATCCGTATGTAGCCACAGGGAAGATGCATGCTCTCAAAATTCTAATTTTGATCTCCTTGCTGGTGCTTAACCATAGACTTCTAAGGCTGTTCAATCTTTGCATTGCTATGGCCATCCTCCTTTTAATTTCTGTCAAGCAGGCTCCATTGCTGTTTATTATAGAGCCTAGATTTTTTAAGTTTGTGACATTTTCAATTTCTTCATTATTTATTGTTATTTTTAGGTGACAGACAGTTTTATCTGTGAATATTATTTTCTTTTTCTTTATATTCAAGAACAGATTTTGATCTTCACTGTGCTTTTGGACAGACAATATTAAATTTTCTATTCCCCTTACGCTGTTCGAAACAATAATTATTACAAAACAAAAATATACAGTTTCGGTGGCTTTTTATCTTCTTGAGCCAATATAAATTACTTACCAATGAAAAAAAAATAAGTAAGAGACATACATGAAACCAACCATCCGTGTGGTTATTATTAATTTCGCTCCGCCAAGTGACATAATTGCATTGTGCCAGTTTACAGTAAAGCTGTGATATTTATGACAACCGACACATCTGACTTCATCATGTATTTGCTGACAGAGTTAACTTCTCGGAAGTGTGATTCAATAATTGTCACAAAACAAATAGCCTTCACAAAATATGAATGAGTTGCGTTCTGACTAACAAGTTGTAATTCAAACATAATTTTTCAATAATATTCTCATTCAAACAGGTTATAAAACTACAAAAATTAAATCTATGTGCATATAATTAGATCCTACTTGCAACAGTTCCTAGAACTTGTTCACAAGTGTAGCTATCTTCTTTATTGACTAAGCAATGGCAAACTGTTGAACATAAAATTTGCCTAGAAAAATGACAACAGCCAAAAGATGCTGCGGTTGATTGCTGTAAAGGACTTTATTAAAGTTACTAATGTTTGAAATGTAAGTCGTGGAAAAAGTGTCAGTTGGAACTGATTATATATGTGAAACTACAGGTTCTACTTTGTGATTGCTTGATATCTTTTCATGATACGATAATATATGTGAGGTGTGGTTTAGTACCTCCACATCGTAATGGTAAAATGATCATCAAGACCCATCCACAGCCTTCTGTCTCAAGTCTGGCTGATCATTTCTGATACCCCCGTGTGAGTTCCGGGGCCCCATTGTGGGGAAAACAAGAATAGACCCACTGCCTCCCCAAAAGCATGTCGTAAGAGTCGACTAATTGGGGAGCTTCCTTTGAAGTCGGAGTGCATCTGCCGGAGAGGCAAGGAACCAACAGTCTGTATTCAAGAGAATGAGATCTGTAAAACTGATGCACACGCAACACTCAGGTTCTGGAGCAGGACTGCAGTTCAGTAGTGGACGAGCAACCAGAACCTTCCGCCAGAGTTTACAGCTGGTGAACGCGAAGAAGAAGAAGATTTCTGATACATAATTTGACAACAAACTATCTCTTTCCTGGAACTTTCTCCCTGTCACAATGTACAGTTGTCTCCTTACTATGGCATGCCCAAAGAAGTGGACTCCTTTGCCATTTCTCGCTGTGTGGGCTCGGAGGACTCATTTTTGACCATATAGGTGCAGATACCACAGCCTAGCTGTAAACCACCATAACAATGTGTCATGAGAAGATACCAAACCAAATGAAATGTAGATCCAATTAGCTTCACATTATCACAAAACAAATGTCAAGTAGAGGTTGCTTGCAGCTAGTGAACTTCAGCTGTGCACTTGTGGCGGACCTGCTAGTAGAACATTTTGTCAGCTGTGCACTTGTAGCAGACCTGCTAGTAGAACATTTTGTCAGCTGTGCACTTGTGGCAGACCTGCTAGTAGAACATTTTGTCAGCTGTGCACTTGTAGCAGACCTGCTAGTAGAACATATTGTCAGCTGTGCACTTGTAGCAGACCTGCTAGTAGAACATTTTGTCAGCTGTGCACTTGTGGCAGACCTGCTAGTAGAACATTTTGTCAGCTGTGCACTTGTGGCAGACCTGCTAGTAGAACATTTTGTCAGCTGTGCACTTGTAGCAGACCTGCTAGTAGAACATATTGTCAGCTGTGCACTTGTAGATGACTTACTAGTAGAATATCATGATTTTAGCTGTGCACCTGTAGCTGACTAGCTAGTAGAACATATTGTCAGCTGTGCACTTGTAGCAGACCTGCTAGTAGAACATTTTGTCAGCTGTGCACTTGTGGCAGACCTGCTAGTAGAACATCATGATTTGAGCTGTGCACCTGTAGCTGACTTGCTAGTAGAACATATTGTCAGCTGTGCACTTGTGGCAGACCTGCTAGTAGAACATCATGATTTGAGCTGTGCACCAGTAGCTGACTTGCTAGTAGAACATATTGTCAGCTGTGCACTTGTGGCAGACCTGCTAGTAGAACATCATGATTTGAGCTGTGCACCTGTAGCTGACTTGCTAGTAGAACATATTGTCAGCTGTGCACTTGTAGCAGACTTGCTAGTAGAACATCATGATTTTAGCTGTGCACTTGTAGCAGACTTGCTAGTAGAATATGATTTTAGCTGTGCACCTGTAGCGGACTTGCTAGTAGAGCATCATAATTTTAGCTGTGCACCTATAGCTGACTTACTAGCAGAACATGCTGACTTCAGCTGTGCACCTGTGGCTGACTGCTGCTGCTGGGGAAATGGTGACTTCAGCTACGGCTAACGTTGAGATAAAGCCTTGCTCTTGATGGGGGATTTCCCTGACTTCCGGGCTCTCCTCTGTCGGTTGTTGTTCCTGGTGCCCATGTTTTTCATGGTGAAAGTTACATACTGGAATACAACAGATACATAACATCAGATAACTGGAATACAACAGATACATAACATCAGATAACTGAAATAAAACGTATAACTGAAATACAACAGATAAAAGAAAAACAAAATATATTACATAATATAAAACAATTTAACCTTCTCTCCTTAAGAGCACTAAAAAAAACATTATGTTGGGATTCTAGGAAAAAGTCACATTTTTAAAACAAACACGTCTCTAGTAAATGGATTAAAATTAATTTACATTTGAATTTTGTGTATGTGGAAATATATAAAAAGATAAAAAGGAAATAATCAATAAACATTAACAGGGTGAAGCATAATAATGGAATATATTCCTTGGGGCCTTGAAAAATACGTAACGAGTGACTCACGCTGTGACACACATGACCTCAACCAATGAGGCTTATGGAAAATTTGAGGTCAACATGGTTTAAAAAAAAAGCTATTTGGCTGAAAGGACACCCCCCCCCCCCCTCCATATTTAGTTAATGTATTCATAACTTAACTTCCTAAATGTTAGTGCAGGCATGAAAACTGGCAAAAAAGGTAAAGTCGGCAGATGTGAACCAGCGTCATTGCACACGGTTATAAACCATAAGTGCTGTGCCACCAGTATGGACAGCTAATAAGAAACTGTCCGCCTGTGTCGCCGTAGCTACAACAACATTCCTCCACTCTAGTACCCATAATCTAGAGGCTGGGTAAACCTGGGGAACCATCCGGTTTCGAACACCTGCCGTGGACTGCAGCGAGTCGCACCTGGATTTGAAAGCGATTCTCCTATCGACTGCTCAATATTTCTACAACCGCTGCACAGATCCTAATGAATATGTGTTTAATTATTTTATTTTCCATGTCACTGCAAATGAATAATTTTAAATCAGTCAAGTACCGCAGTTTCCTGTTTTTCTTTTTCTGGAAACAGAACTGACTATTTGTCTCATCAGCTGGTCACTATATACAGGTAGGAAAAGTAACATGGAACTGGACCCAAATGAAAGTGTCGGTTCTACAGCTTTACTTAAAATTAAATACAAGCTAAAAGATGTATGGATTTGTTTGTCTCCCGTTACTTTTATTGAAAATTAAGTTCCAGTTACAAACGTATGGATACGCTATTTTCACAAAATTTTAAAAATTAAGAAGAGTTTAAAGACTGATGAACATATTATTATTTTTCTGCGTTCATCTGAAGATGTAGCTGCCTTGTGCCCGTTCACAGCATGGCTGTGATAGTTGCACCTTTTGGACAACATTGCGGGCATTTGTTGACTGGGTTAGCATTGCCGGTTAGTTTCACAAGGAATTCTAATTTTCTGTAAAAACATTTTCAAGGCCTCGAGAAATTACTTAGTTTCTAGCCAACCATTTTAATCATACACTCGCCTGCCAGCCTAAAGGTCTTAAGTTTGAATCTGCAATAGAAAATTTTAGGGGGATAAACTGGCTTTGGCCACGAAGTCGGCCCAACGTCAAATAAGTACCAGGAAAAGCCTTGTGAAGTAAAAGCAGCAGCGTGCTGTTGACAATATCGCTCATCTAGTGGCTCCCCTTGTGGGTTCTGGGACTCCACTGTAGGGGGAAAACAAGAATAGACCCACGGCCTCTACAACAAGCATGTCATAAAATAGACTAACTGGGATCTTCATTTGAAATCGGTGTGCAACTGCCTGAGGAGCAAGGAACCAACAGTCTGGATGCAAATAAGTCAGATCTGTAAAACAGATGTGCACACAACACTCAGGTTCTGGAACAAGACTAAAGTCCAGAGGTAGACTAACAACCAGGACTGTCTGCAAAAGTTTACACCTGAAAGAATCCAGAACTTACCCTGTCATCCAGAACTTACCCTGTCATCCAGAACTTAACCTGTCATCCAGAACTTACCCTGTCATCCAGAAAGTCCATGAGATGAGCCATGCTGACTTTGATACCAGATTCAGCGATCCTTTTCTTCAAGACGTCCAGCTCCAGTGGCTAGAACCCCAAATGTCCAAATGTTATAGTCTGTCTTCCATGTATATTCAATGACCATGCAGTATGATGTGTGCTTGTATTACGCAGTTATGTGAATGTATGTGCGTACGCATGTATGTACGAATGTATGCATGTACGTACGCAGGTATTTAGTGTGTATGTAAGCAGGGCTTTATTTTCACACACATGAACACATACAAAGATGCTGGTACTCATCACAAAGTGTCTTTAAAACAAAGGTGCCAGTCCTGTAACACAGTGTCATAACTGTCATAACAGTTTCATAACACAGTGCCATAAAAGTGTCTATTGCAGCAGCTTTAAGAAAAATGATGTGCCTAAAAAAAAAAGTGCAGATATTTCCTTTAAAAAAAAAAAGCCAAGGACTAATGTATGTATATGTGCTTGTATTATGTAGTGGCACATATATTATATATATGCTTGTATTATGTAGTGACACATACATGTAAAAATGCTTGTATTATGTAGTGACACATACATGTATATATGCTTGTATTATGTAGTGACACATACATGTAAAAATGCTTGTATTATGTAGTGACACATACATGTATATATGCTTGTATTATGTAGTGACACATACATGTAAAAATGCTTGTATTATGTAGTGACACATACATGTAAAAATGCTTGTATTATGTAGTGACACATACATGTAAAAATGCTTGTATTATGTAGTGACACATACATTTATATATGCTTGTATTATGCAGTGACACATACATTTATATATGCTTGTATTATGCAGTGGCACATACATTTATATATATGCTTGTATTATGCAGTGGCACATATATTTATATGTGCTTGCATTATGCAGTGGCACACACATATGCATGTCTATGTAAACATGTCACATCAGGCATATGATGCTAGACATATTATTTCAGCCCAATCAGAACTTGATGGGTGATGTAGTCAACATCACGCTGGCTGCCTTTACTTCTACGGACTTTACCTGGTATCAATTTTAGGTTGGGCTGACCTGGGAGGGAAGGTCATTTAGTTCTCGAACCCAAGACTTGTGGGCTGGCAAGCGACCATCTTGCCACTCCACCACTGCAGCTCTCTCTGTATTATGCCAGAGCTATTCAGCTAAGTTTACCCAAGCAGCAAAATGTTGAAAATGAGGATCGGCACAGGTCAGAGCCTCAGCAAAGGAAGACTACTAATACAGTTGGCAATGATCCATGGGCCCAAGAGGCAAGGAACCAAGAGTCTGCACACAAATAAGCCAGATTTGTAAGATGTACACGCAACACTCAGGTTCTGAAACTAGTCTTGTTCAGAGATAGACGAACAACCAGAACTTTCCGCCAGAGTTTGCAGTGGGTGAAGGCAAAAAAAAAGATATAATAAGCTGTTTGGTAGTGAAAGAGTTACAAAAGGTTCATAGTTGCCAATATGTTGACTGATAAAACAGCAACATTCTGAAACAAATAAGTTGTGGAAAAAAAAAATGAGGACTAAAAAACAGATACAGAAATCTTGTTAATGGTTAAGCTCTAATAAATGTACGTCACAATTCATACCTCATACATAAGAATGCTCTCGTAAATATCTGGGTTACTTTGCACAAACTGAAGTAATCTTTCAGTTACTGTCTGCTGATTTGACTGCATCTGTTAGTAGGAAAAAGTATAAACCAGAAAATAATAAATAAACAATCGAATTATATAATGTTGTGAATTATTTGTGAATTACCTACTATAATCCTAATCCTCAAGGGAAGTAATCCATGTGTGGGTTATGGGGCACCAATGTAGGGGGAAAAAAAGAATGGACCCACTGCCTTTGCAACAAGCATGTCATAAGAGTCAACTAATTTGAAGTTTTTCCTTCAAAGTCAGAGTGTACCTGCCTGACAGACAAGAAACCAACTGTCAGCATACAAATAAACCAGATCTGTGAAATGGATTGCATACACAACACAAGTTTTGGAATAAGACCAAGGTCAATTCTGCACCTAACTTCAGTGTTATCAATACAAAAAAACATTAAGAAACTGACATCAGCTCCAATAACAAATCTTTTGTGAATAAAACAGCAACAACTTCAGCCAAGAATGAGAATCAATCACACAATTTTCCTACAAGAACACTGACTGTCATGATCTCCAATACTCTTGTCCTGGTTATAAGCTAACAGACTGCTGATCCACCATTCTAGAATATTCTATTTCCAGTCATACCGCTGTCTACCTCTTGCTTGTCTGCCTCCCTTTTCCAACTTGTACGGTTTTTATAAACAGCTCATAGAAGCCAGCTTTAGGCCTTGAAAATGAGATTTCTGAGAAAGGTGGTCTAAGAGACAAGAAGGGACAAAGTTCACAATCAGAAAATACGTCAAGATCTTGAAACCCAGGCCTTACAAACTCAAATGGATCAGTCACGATTTGGACATGTATGTGGAATGTGAAAAAACTGGCCACCATAGGAGGCTATGAACCACAGAACCAGACCTCCAGGGTGACCCAGGGTTCTATGGGAGGACAACATCCCTGACTAACAGAGGACTGGAATGGAACAAAGGCAGAAAGAAAACTGCTGATAGAGAAGTCTGGCGATCTCTCTGGCAAAGCTCTACACCCCAAGGTAGAAGAGGAGTGACTAAGTAAGGTAAGTAAAGTATGGTTGTTAAAAATAAATAAACTGGTTGTTATAAGAAAGGATGTTAAAAAGTTGAGTCAAAGTTGAGAGGCTCGATTCTATTGCGTGGGTTCCGGGGCCCCATTGTGGGGAAAACAAGAATAGACCCACTGCCTCCCCAAAAGCATGTCGTAAGAGTCGACTAATTGGGGAGCTTCCTTTGAAGTCGGAGTGCATCTGCCGGAGAGGCAAGAAACCAACAGTCTGTATTCAAGAGAATGAGATCTGTAAAACTGATGCACACGCAACACTCAGGTTCTGGAGCAGGACTGCAGTTCAGTAGTGGACGAGCAACCAGAACTTTCCACCAGAGTGTACAGCTGGTGAACGCAAAGAAGAAGAAGAAGAAGATTCTTTTGCACTGAGAATTTAACCTCATATGGCTCCATTTGTGGGGGCCTAAAACCCACAGGGGATGTTGTATATTTGTACAATAAAATTTACTTCAATAAACTAGTAAAAAATGTATCTGTGACCTGTGTAAAATGGTTTTAATTTTTAAGGATGGGGGTGGGGGAGGGGTCGCTGGCTGATAGACGACTTCATCGCCGATGGAGACAGTATTTGGGTCTGTCTCCTTTGATCGAATCGACACTGCAGGAGTCCTTTTCAGGGCTACCTGGTGGCGAGCTAAGCCATTTTATATGGTGCAAATAACATGTCACATTTATAACCTAAAGCTTCAGGGATGATGGTTAAACGTGACACATTTTTTTTAAATCTGAAAAACGGATGATAAAGGAATTGGGGGGGGGGGGGGGGGGGGGGGTCCCCCCAGGTTCATGGCTTTTCCCCTAAAAGGTTTTCAGAGTAAAAGTATTGAAATAATCACTCCTGTACTGTACCTGATTCGATGGCAGGAACTCCTCCTCTGGCCAGCCCTGCAGGATACTTTCCTCTGGAAGATCAGGCCCCTCGCTGCTGTAAGCAACAACAAAACAACAATTAACAGAGAAAACAGCAGATGCTGCGTTCTAACTACTGGTCTAAAGATATCATTCGGTGAAGCAAACGCACACAGCGTGTTCAACCATACCAGTGAGAAGTTTGAACACTCTACTTCCAGAATTGATTATTATCAACATCCACCCCCCACCATTTTTTTTTTTTCGTTTGCATGAATGTGTATGTGTATGTACGATCGTGTGGGTCTCTCTTTCTCTCTCTTCCCCTCCCTTTCTCCCCCCCCCCCCCTTCGCTCTGTGTGTCTCTCTCTCTCTCTCGTGTGTGTGTGTGTGTGTGTGTGTGGGGGGGGGGGGGGGTATTTTTAATTTTTAATTTAAGTATATATATTTTAATGCATGGATTTACCCTTCATCCCTCTGTTTTATACTTACATTATGTGTATTATGAACAAAACATGCTTTATTGATAACATACAACTGTGACCTAGAAGACTGTTCGGAAGGGCCGAATCTAAGATGGGTCTGCGTGTCCGATTTGTGACCCTCTGAAAATATAGTTTGTTTGTTCATTCTCTCTCTCTCTCACACACAGATGACACCGACTGTTACCTGAAACTTGAATCCTGGGATCCTGAGATTTCCTCCCGGTCCACGTCAACATCCTCTAGTGCTAACGCACAATCATCACCAATCAAAGCATCCTTCCCCAGAATTCTCCTTTCCGGCACCTGAGGATGCGACCTACTTTTCTCCGGCAAGCTTGTTAACCTGTGCTTAACCCCAGCTACTCCTTTGTCCTTCTTCTCATTTGGGTTCAGTTTATTAGATTTGGCTTTGCTTGTGGGCTGGCTGTTTGTGTGAGTGTAGGATCTTCCCGCTGCTTTGATGGGAAGATGTGACAACATGGCCTTTGGGCTCAGCTGTAAAGGTTGGGAGCAGCTTCGTTTGCGTTTCACAGGAGTTCCGTCATAGTCGCTATCAGTTTCATCTAAGACAAAAGTAAATGGTGGTGGTTACAGAATATACCAGACGGCATTGCACGCAAGTTGCAACAGTAAGATTTTATGACCTCTTGAGTTTAAAAAAAAAAATCAAACTGAGACTAAGAAAATGGGGATATGCAGAAGAATAGGTCCTATTTCAAGGAAACAAAAAAAAAATCCCCAGAGATTCTGGAAAAAATGTAAGTGACAAGAGTTACTGAAAGAAACTTGAAAAAAGAGACAACTTAAATATTTGGCCACATTAAAAGACATAATACTCTTTTAAAAACCATCTCGAGGGAGGCAAGACAGCAAAAGTTAGACGATACAAGTGGAATGACCACATCAAGAGAACAGCTGAGTGAGAGAATGATGTATTACCAGGATGAGTGCAGACAGCGTCAGGGATCCACTGCAGATGACCTTCAATGTGGAGATGGCACTTGAATGATTGAGTAGGGGAAGGCTGGAGCCCATTGTGAATATAGAAGAGCTGGAGGAAAAGACAGGCAAAGGGAGAAAAAGCCGGAAATGTGGAGAGTTCTGGAAACAGGGCAGGGATGATCAGGGAGGAGAAAGGAGGCTGTGGACACAGACGACTATCTACGCTATGTAGCATGGATTACAGAAAGAAGAATATAAAGTTTCAACATAACTGAGCTCAACACAAGTTTATCCTTTTCTTCTTCGTCGTGGTCACCAGCTGTAAACTCTGGCGGAAAGTTCTGGTTGTTCATCCACTTCTGGACAAAAGTCCTGTTCCAAAACTTGAGTGTTGCGTGTGCATCCGTTTGACAGATCTTACTCATTTGTGTGCGGACTGCTGATTCCTTGCCTCTCAGGCAGATGCACTTCGACTTCAAAGGAAGCTCCCAATTAGTCGACTCTTACGACATGCTTTTGGGTAGGCAGTGGGTCTATTTTTGTTTTCCCTATAATAGGGCCCCAGAACCCACACAGGGATAACAAGTTTATAAATGCTTAGTCTTTCGCACGTGGACAGACTCTAGTCAGGCCGATGAAGGAAAGATTCACTGTGATGAAACCAAGAAAGAGATGAATAAAGGGTGTAGCCAAAACCTGCAAAAACAAATGAGTAAATCCATCACCCAAGCCACTCCAGTAGAGCAAGAGCACTACAGAAAACCACAACACTGGGCTACAACCTGGTATCAGTGAGGCAGCAAGAGCACTACAGAAAACCACAACACTGGGCTACAACCTGGTATCAGCGAGGCAGCAAGAGCACTACAGAAAACCACAACACTGGGCTACAACCTGGTATCAGTGAGGCAGCAAGAGCACTACAGAAAACCACAACACCGGGCTACAACCTGGTATCAGCGAGGCAGCAAGAGCACTACAGAAAACCACAACACTGGGCTACAACCTGGTATCAGTGAGGCAGCAAGAGCACTACAGAAAACCACAACACCGGGCTACAACCTGGTATCAGCGAGGCAGCAAGAGCACTACAGAAAACCACAACACTGGGCTACAACCTGGTATCAGTGAGGCAGCAAGAGCACTACAGAAAACCACAACACCGGGCTACAACCTGGTATCAGCGAGGCAGCAAGAGCACTACAGAAAACCACAACACTGGGCTACAACCTGGTATCAGTGAGGCAGCAAGAGCACTACAGAAAACCACAACACCGGGCTACAACCTGGGATCAGCGAGGCAGCAAGAGCACTACAGAAAACCACAACACTGGGCTACAACCTGGTATCAGTGAGGCAGCAAGAGCACTACAGAAAACCACAACACTGGGCTACAACCTGGTATCAGTGAGGCAGCAAGAGCACTACAGAAAACCACAACACCGGGCTACAACCTGGTATCAGTGAGGCAGCAAGAGCACTACAGAAAACCACAACACTGGGCTACAACCTGGTATCAGTGAGGCAGCCAGAGCACTACTGAAAACCACAACACCGAGCTACAACCTGGTATCAGTGAGGCAGCAAAAGAAGAAGAAGAAGAAACCTGATGAAGCTATACTGTATTTAAAAAAAATGTTTTCCCAAATTCTGTCAATTTAAAATAGAGGTCGTCTTATTCATGAAATATGATTAAAATATTAATTCTAATTTTAGGCTTAAAAAATAGGGATTGTCTTATACACGGAATGTGATTAACATATTTATTTCTTAATTTTAGGCTAAAAAAAAAAAATAGGGGTCGTCTTATACACTAAAAAATACAAGATGCTGCATGGTCTCGATGTTTTTCCAACAACAATCCCCAGGAACCTCCATGAAAAAAAAGAAAAAAACCACGTGTGAACTGAATGCCACCTCTATGCAATGAACTCATGACTTTCACAGCCAAGGGCAAAATGGTTTGAACATTGGGGGGGGGGGGGGGGGGGGGTTTACCACTTAGGAATGCATGGCTAGTGCTGTTGCCACAAACTATGCATGTTAGGATTTTTTTATTTTTGCCTCCTGTCTGAGAAAGATTAGTAATCTTATTGAGGATTCGAATCCAGGTCTCTCATGCAAGAGCCTGCATTGCAAATTCTATAATCTGCTTAACACAAAAACCAAGACAACTCACACTGATGGGTTTCATGATAGACACGTTTGAGAAACTCCCTCATTCTTTTTTTGCCAAGTGGACGCACTCCAATTCTCGACACAGCTTTCTGCAATAACATCAACAATGTGTGAGACAACATGGCCACTGGCATAACATAGTTAGCATGCTATAAGACCTACTGCCAATTACTGCTTTTATTTCACCACTTTTGCAGTGTAGGCTGGGGGGGGGGGGGTGTCTTTGAGCCTGAGGATTTGAAGCCGCTTGGCTAGTGCTGTCGCCATGACTGTGCAGGTGAAGATTTTATTTTGCCTCAGAAAGAAATAATCCCCAGGCTTACCGAGGATTTGAACCCGAATCTCCGGCATGAGAGCCCTGCGTTTTAACTGGTTGGCCAGCCGCTCCTCACAAGATTTACTAAAATTATAAAATCTTTAGCTTAAAAAAAAAAAGTTCTGGTTATTCATCCACCCAGGACTTATGTTTTGTAACAAAACTTGAGTGTTGTGTGCACATCTGTTTTATTTGCATGCGTTGCTGGCTCCTCATCTCACATGCAAATTCACTGTCCTTAAAGGGAAACAACCCTAATTATTTGACTTTTGATACATGCTTCTGAGAGGGACAGTGGCTCTGTTAGCTGATTAGTACAAAAATCATGTGGTTTTATGGATGAATGATGAAAACATCTTACAAAAATTAAAAAAAAGAGTAATTAATATACTGAAAATAATTAAAATGTCTGGAGAATAAATGAATGAATTAAGAATTGATATCACTGCACTCGGGACATTCCCACACATGACCCTTCTTCAGTAGCCAATGAAGAGTTCACATTCCAATAGTACCGGCTGCAACCTGATTAAAAGTCTACCTTTGTTTTCCCCTTCAATGTTGAATATCTTCAAAACCCCGCTCCCCGTCCCGTTAAATTGTGTCTTTCAGTGTATGGATTTATATCTTTTCTGTTAAACTGCATGGCTGTAGAGAAGACAGTTGTTAACAAAGGCACTCAGGTCGTTGTAGGGTCGACGCTTGGCTGATGGATGTAATGTTAAAAGTCCCTTGCCCAGCAAAGAGTGAGGTCACTGCTGGGGTCACTGTTTATCTGCCATCACATAATTGCATATGGATTTAAACTAGAAGTAAGCCCGGCTCTCTAGCGGAATTAGCTAAACCGGATTTCGCGGAGACCGGGTGACGTACTCCTTGTGGTCCGGGTTCAATCCCGGGGGTAGGCAGGAAGCCACATTTTCTCCCAGATTTACGGTATTTACAATGGAATCGAGGCCGAAAGGTTGCGTTATCCATAATACAGAGCCTAAGGGTTAACAACTCATGGCTTCTGGATACTAAAACAAACAAACAACAAATAATTAGAAGTAAAACTATAAAGAAGAATAACAGCTGGAGCTGCGGGGTGCATACACTGAGTTTGATACCTTCTTCTTTATTGTTCTGGAAAAAAGATTAACAACTGAAGAGAACTGACTATCCACATGAGAAGGAGACAATCTACATTCTTTGGTCATGTCAGGAGAAGGAGAAAACTGGAGTACATCGTGAAGGTGGGAAAGATGGAGGGGAAAAGGGCAGAGGGAGACAGAGAGAAAGCTGGACAGTTCAACATTATGACATGGACGATCATCTGTGTCAGAAATGATTAAAAGTACATGAGACACAATGTTACAGATAGACATGGCTACCAACACCACACAGCATGGGCTATAAAAAAAAAAAGAAGAAGAATACCTTTAGGTCAGGTGTTGCCATGTCATCATATGGTGCCATCGGGGTAAATGGGGATGGTATTTTGCCAGCTTTTTTCAAATTTTTCTGTCTCCTTACTGTTTGCTGTGTTGGAGTTTTTACATTATCTGTCTACAATCAGAAAAGAACAACAATTCAGAAAAAAATTTACTAGAAAATAACATTTACAAAGTAACACACATAAATACCCTGGTGGGAAAAAAACCGGTGGTTAGCATACTGTTAACATCATTCCACATCACTTGCCAGAATGGCAGACTTGGGAATTAAGACTGGCATAGCAAAAAACGAGACGTACACCAGACACGCCAGAAGACTTGTTAATCAACATAGAACTGGTACTATTAGACATTGGACGTTGGGGTTCATGCGGAGGGGAGATTCTGAGCACCTTTGGACATGTCCGGAGTGCAATGATGATAACCCAACCAACTAATGAACATCATCCCATGATCTGACTGTGAAAGACTTTTCTCATTCTCAAAGTCAGCAGATCTTGCACTCGCCATCACCATGAGTTCATTCCAAACCTTCCTGTAGCACATCTTGCTAGTCGCACTCGCCATCCCCATGAGTTCATTCCAAACCTTCCTGTAGCACATCTTGCTAGTCGCACTCGCCATCACCATCATTCCAAACCTTCCTGTAGCACATCTTGCTAGTCGCACTCACCATCACCATGAGTTCATTCCAAACCTTCCTGTAGCACATCTTGCTAGTCGCACTCACCATCACCATGAGTTATTTCCAAACCTTCCTGTAGCACATCTTGCTAGTCGCACTCGCCATCACCATGAGTTAATTCCAAACCTTCCTGTAGCACATCTTGCTAGTCGCACTCGCCATCACCATGAGTTAATTCCAAACCTTCCTGTAGCACATCTTGCTAGTCGCACTCACCATCACCATGAGTTCATTCCAAACCTTCCTGTAGCACATCTTGCTAGTCGCACTCACCATCACCATGAGTTAATTCCAAACCTTCCTGTAGCACATCTTGCTAGTCGCACTCGCCATCACCATGAGTTCATTCCAAACCTTCCTGTAGCACATCTTGCTAGTCGCACTCGCCATCACCATGAGTTCATTCCAAACCTTCCTGTAGCACATCTTGCTAGTCGCACTCACCATCACCATGAGTACATTCCAAACCTTCCTGTAGCACATCTTGCTAGTCGCACTCGCCATCACCATGAGTTCATTCCAAACCTTCCTGTAGCACATCTTGCTAGTCTCACTCGCCATCACCCTGAGTTCATTCTAAACCTTCCTGTAGCACATTTCGCTAGTCGCACTCGCCATCATCATGAGTTCATTCCAAACCTTCCTGTAGCACATCTTGCTAGTCGCACTCACCATCACTATGAGTTAATTCCAAACCTTCCTGTAGCACATCTTGCTAGTCGCACTCGCCATCACCATGAGTTCATTCTAAACCTTCCTGTAGCACATCTTGCTAGTCGCACTCGCCATCACCATCATTCCAAACCTTCCTGTAGCACATCTTGCTAGTCGCACTCGCCATCACCATCATTCCAAACCTTCCAGTAGCACATTTTGCTAGTCGCACTCGCCATCACCATCATTCCAAACCTTCCAGTAGCACATTTTGCTAGTCGCACTCGCCATCACCATGAGTTCATTCCAAACCTTCCTGTAGCACATCTTGCTAGTCGCACTCGCCATCACCATGAGTTCGTACTTGTCGTCCCCACGTGGGATGCAATTTTTTATTTGAAGCCCCACACTGGCTTCTGTCGGTGGGCCCTGAATATAGCAGGGTCATAAATATATGGCCTAACGACTGAAAGGGGTTTCTGGGACCTCTCCACGGGTGATCCTCATCCCCATGGTGGCACTTTGTGTCACCGGGTGTTTATCGCTTGTGTGATGTCCTGGTGGGGTACAACTACCTACCTCCCTACAATGAGTTAATTCCAAACCTTCCTGTAACACAATACAACACTATTTTATAGAAAGATGGTGCTATGAAAACAACTACCCCGATTTATCTTACTGTTGTTCTTTCCAGTTGTCATGAGGGTTTCTAAAGGCCATTTTCTTTTGCTCAATAAAGACGGTTTTTAACTTTAATCTTCTTCTTCTTCTTCGTTTTCACAAGCTGTTAAGTTCTGGCTGTTCATCCACTTTCGGACTGCAGTCATGTTCCAGAACCTAAGTGTGTGTGCATCCATTTTACAAATCTGACTCATTTGAAGGCAGACTACTGGTTCTTTGCCTCTCAGGCAGAGGCACTCAGACTCTGAAGGAAGCTCCCAGTTAGTCGACTCTTACGACATGCTTTTGGGTAGGCAGTGGTTTTATTCTTGTTTTCCCTGTAACAGAGCCCCGGAATCCACACGGAGATAACTTTAATCTGATTTAAAGAAAATAATTTTATTTACCTTCTCTGAGAATTCAGACTGTATGTTTCCAACTTGTGCTTCATTTATAAAAAACAGATCAACATCATCATCAAGTTCCCAGTCTTGATTGTTTATGGATGTAGGATTAACTTTATTTTGACCATTTGTGATTTCTGTCTGGATACTAGGTGCAGTATTTGGGAAAGGCACAGATGCTGCCTTCTTCTTTATCTCCTCAGGTTGTTTAAGACTTGATCTTTGGAAGGGGTTGATCACACCCAACCTCATACGAAGAGGTAAAGGTGAATCCAAATCACTTGAATCACTGAGCTGAAATGAGAAAGTATATTCAACAATACCTGAATGTGCTTTGATATTTCTGCAAAGGACATCACACTGTGTCCATTTACAATGAAGATGTAACATAATACAAGGTCAACAATTAAGTAATGAGACTAATTCCATAAAAATTTAAATAACCAACAGTTGAAGATATAACCTGTATTTTATTCAAAGTAAGCCCCTTCTGCATTGATACAGTGAGTAGCACGATCTAACAAACACTAGAACGACCTCTGTAGTTCTTCTGTTGTTATGGCCCTTAAAGTTGATGTTACAGCCCTTTGGATGTCATCAATATCGTCAAAGAAGCGTCCTTTCAATGGTAACTTTAATTTGGGGAACAGAAACTAATTAGTAAAGTAAAGTAAAGATCCCTCACGCCCTTAGGTGCATCAGGCATATGGGAAGAGCACCCATATTTTTACAGACCAATCGGCACTCGGTGGGTAATGTGGTCAGCATTACGCCAGCTGTCTTTACTTTCCCAGGACAGCCCATCCTGGTACCCATTTGAGGCTGGGTCGACCTGCGACGTCCCATACCACGATAAAAATCCACGCAGCCCACGTAGGTTTCGATCGCAGTAGGTTGGATTACGAGTCAGACTCGCAACGCCTTAGCCACGGACGCCGCAGAAACTAATTACAGGGAGACAAATCTAGGGAACAGGGTGGATAGTTAAGAACACAAACTTGGTTTGGGGCAAAAAATTCCAGTTTTGATGATGTCTCGTGGGTACTCAACCCACATATGTTTTTGGTCATCAGCCATGAATGCGGTACAAACCTGCAAGCTTTTTTTTTTTTCTTGCCAAAATCTTGCACTACAATTTTTTGAAGGGTCCCTCTATTAACAACAGATTCATCTGCCATCATCCTGACACTAAAACAATGATCTTCTTGTATCTGTTCTGTGACTTTTGCAATGAGTTCATCATTACAAACAGAAATTGGGCGTCTAGGTCTAGTGGCGTTAGTAATTATTTCACACCACTTTTGAATTGTGAATAACACCTGAAAATCTGTGCACCAGATAAATAATTATCCCTATAAACTTGTCGCATCAATTCAACTGTCTCAGTGGCAGTTTTTCTGAGTTTCAAACATAATTTATTGCTAGCTTTTTGTTCCATACTGATTTTGTAACAATGCACAACTAAGTTGCCAGATCATAGATGAAGGTTGCCTCTTTGGATTCCATGCTTTGCTTCAAATGGCACTTTTGTCTTGGTCGTAATAAAATCAGTCTCATTACTTAATTGTCGGACTTTGTATATGAACATAAAATACTTAGCCCCAGAAATAGTTATATATCTATAGTTCTATTTATAATGGATCTCTTATAGCTGCTAGTGGTAGTTTTATACTCATGTTTATAACAAATTTATGTCAACATTTTCTATACATATTCATAAAATATTTATCATTATATTACATATATATTTATAATTATCATAATTATCCTCGACTCAAGAATCGGCCATATTTCAAGATCAAAATCAAGTTTCAAGGTCAACTATGAAAGCTAATAATACTTATAACAATCTTCAAGAGTAAAATTACTATCTACCTGTGTGGGGTCTGGGGCCCTACTATGGTAAAAACAAAATTGAACACACTGCCTCAATTCATCTCCTTCTTTTGTTCACCTGAAATAAGTTGTATGGTAACTGCACATTGTTGGGTTACTTAAAATATTTTGTTTGAATATATTCAGAGACGACTGCAGAAATCTGATGCAGATCATCTGCAGGAAGTGTGGAGGGACGGAAGGCACCCTACGCTTAAAAACACTGGCTACCTGAACTATGGGCCAGTTAGGATGCTCATAAGATAAAACAAAGATGCTCACTAACCTCTTGTGCCAGGGATGCTTTGACTTGGTGGAAGTTCTTGCTGCTAAGGTTAACCCTCTTGCCACTGGACAGGTCTAGGGTCTTTTTTGAAACAGTTCCTTCAGAAAGCAAATCTCTGGTACTAAACCTGCTTTCCCCCCATGAGCTTTCACCCAGGCCTAACATTTCATTGGCTGGGATACTGCTGCAAACATCCTCATCTTCCACCAACAGTGTATTCTGTTCAGAAGCTAGTTTTCTCTTCATCTGATGTGTGGAAGAGTGATTGTTTCTTGCTGAAAATGTTCCAGATACTGGAGATTTTTCACAGTCAAATGTTCTGCCGGCTGTTGCGTCTTTACCTGCATGATCATCGCCAGCTGATACCGATCGATATTTTATAGATTCTTCGGCAGGTCTTGAAGAGGCCGATCTATTTTCAACAGGTCTTGATGAGGCAGATTTACACTCCACAGTCCCTAATGAGGCTGATCTACATTCCAGAGGCCCTGAAAAGGTTGATCTACATTCAGCAGGTCTTGATGAGGTTGATCTACATTCTAGAGGCCCTGATGAGATTGATCTACATTCTAGAGGCCCTGATGTAGTTGATCTATATTCTAGAGGCCCTGATAAGGTTGATCTACATTCTAGAGGCCCTGATGAGGTTGATCTATACTCTAGAGGTCCTGATGTGGTTGATCTACAGTCAGCAAGTCTTGATGATTTTGCAGTGTCTGTAGATGACTGACCCTGAGCACAAGCTGGTGGAGCAGGTACCGATCGCTCAGCATCAAGAAGTGATGACCGATTAAGGTTTTCCATATTATTTGAAAATCTGGAAATACTACTGCTAGTTTTTGAAAAGCCTGGTTTTGTATTGATGTTTTGAAAAGAATGTATATGCTTGTTGAAAGAAGATAGTTCCACTGTACTCGTCAAGACAGCTAGTAACTTTGTATCTGAAGATGGCTGTGCCACAACTGACTTATGCCGTTCTTGTTCCAGCGTTGCTTTTCTCAGATGACAATAGCTTGTTGAGCTTGTGGTTGGCACGTGTAAGCTGTTATTTGAGGTTATATTCTTTACTGGACATGTTTCTGTGCTACCCATGGTGGTCTTACTGCTGACTGATGATAGTGGTCTGATTTGTGAATCTGTTGCTTTTTTAAACTGTGCTGCAGCAGAAGACTGAGACCTTTTTACTGGTGTTGTAGTTTTAGAGTGCTTAGCATGAGCAACTGATGTTTGGGAAGTATTTGCTTCAGGACTAGCAACCAAATCTGCTCTTTTCTTTATAGCTATCCTTGGATCTTTACTTGTTTTAAGTGATGAGATTGTTGGAAACAATGGTGTAGACAGAACTTGATCAGAGGCATCTGCAGCTGTATTAGGATTCTTCACACAGACAGTAGGAACGGATCGTACACAGACAGTAGGATCAGGTCGTACACAGACAGTAGTCTGAGGCCTATGCAAGACAGTAGAATGAGGTTCCATAGATACTGCAGGATCAGGCTGCAGAGAAACAGTAGGATCAGGCTGCACAGAGATGGTAGGATCAGGGTTGTGCAGTAAATGCAATGAAAGATCAATCAGTATATTGACCTTTGTGTTGTCCACACTAGTGGAGTTGTGGTTATCTGATGCAGATGTTGTACTGGGAGCTAACTTTCTATTAGGTTTCTTGAAAATAAACGGTTCCTTGTTATTCCGCAACTCTGTATCCGTACTTCCTACAGCAGACGAACAGTTTAATGGTCCAGCGACAGTCGTCTCGACACCATAACTGGACCATGGCTTTGAGGTAGATTCATCTGCAGAGTGTGGATTTTTTACCACAGAGGCACTTCCACCGAGTTCTTGTGAGAATATGTTTCTACGAACCAATCTGACCTCCTGCATTATGGACGTGTCCATGAAGTCTTCTTTAGCTGGGGAGCTTGAGATCTGCTGTGTTGAAAGGATCCAACAGGGATCCGAAGGACTTCTATATGTTATCTGAGTCTTTGAGGGTTCTGGATCTTCTTCGCTGTCAGTAAAAAGCTCTTCGCCGCTCACATATCCAGAATTTGTTGACTTGGCTGACGGAGAAGAAAGAAAATTTAGGACTGAGGAACTGTTAATTGTTGATGAGTCTTGTGAGTGTGAGTTTCTGAGAACATCATGAATTTGAAAAGAAGCGCCACTGAATCCCTTGCTGGGACTTGGTGGTGGTGCTCCGACTGGGAGGCCTTCAGATGTAGTCCTTGGGGTCGAGCATTCTTTGCTGACAAGTTTTATAGTATCAGAAGCACCTGCTGAATTGTCCAGTGACTGCCTGTTGCTGCACAGTTTTGCTTGCAGTGTTAAAGACTTCTGTAAAAGGTTGGCCACATACAATGTCCCAGAGCTTGTTTTTAATGGGCTAGACCTTACGGGACTGAGTCTAGAAGCTTGTGCTTGCGCAGAACTTGATGATTCACCAAGTGAGGCAGGTACTGATACACCAGGATCTTTCATAACTGCCTGAGGTTTTAACTGAGCTGAGTTCACACAAGCTCTATTTGACATCTGTGCTGCCATCCTTTCATGATGAACGGAGGATTGTGTGAAATCGGTCTGCAAAGTTAACTTGTCACAATCTATAACAGTGTTGTTGCCTGTGCGGAGACCTTGTGTGACTAAAGCTGAATCCAGAACAGTCTTTGGATATTCAAGGAGTGTGCCCACCACCTCAGCCTTTGCTTGGGACTTCCTACTTTGCCCGCGATTCTTCTTCATGGCAGTCTTGATATCTGCATGTGTAATGATCACCTCATTGGTGCTCTCTCCAGTATCCTCCAACACGCTTGGAATATACACACTGTCGTTGGGATCATTGACAGCCTGCAGACTTTGTTCAATTTTAATCCCAATTTTATTAATTTCTTCGTCTGTCAAGTCAGGCAGGGACTGACAAGTTTCAGAAGAGCCAGAAAGAGCTTTGTGCACAATGTTTTTGAACTCTTTGACAGTGACTTTTGTCTTTTTCTTCTTTCCTCTTTTAGAGCCAACAGCTGTAGTGTCATTCTTTGCCAGTGAAAGGTTCACTGCTTCATCTGTACTTTGGTTAACATAAGAAGATAATGAGTTTTCTAAAATATTTCCTAAATTTGATTTTAAATGCATATCA